CAAGCTAGTCTCAAACTATGGCAATCCTCCTGTCTCAGCCTCCTGAGTGCTGGGAACTACAGATGTGTGCCACCATGCCTGATTTATGATTTGAATCTAAACTGCCCCCCCCAATAGACTCAGATGGTGACCTCATGGTCCCCAACTCCCTCGTAGCACTATTTTGAAGTCTGTGGGTCTGGCTGGCAGAAGTAGGTCGCCAGAGCAAACCTTTGAAGGTCATACTGTCCTCATTCCAGCAGGATCTTCCTGTCCTCGTCCAGCAACAATGTGTTCTCCCCAAGATGGATCGAAACTCCCTTGAACGTGTGATGCAAAAATAAATCTTTTGCCGGGCGGTGGTGGCGCACGCCTTTAATCCCAGCACTTGGGAGGCAGAGGCAGGCAGATCTCTGTGAGTTCGAGGCCAGCCTGGTCTACAAGAGCTAGTTCCAGGACAGGAACCAAAAGCTACAGAGAAACCCTGTCTCGAAAAATAAAAAAAAAATAAAAAAAAACAACAACAAAAACAAATCTTTTATTTATTAAGTTGATTCTGTGAGATAATTTGGTCATAGCAATAAATAGAATAAAATTTGAAAATGGAAGTTTAGAATAAGAAACCATGTGAGAACTTATGGGGAGAGCTAGGGTAACTATTCTAAGTACAAGACAGAAATGCTAACCCGGGACAAGGACATTTTGTTTCTAACTAGGAACAAGGATATTTTGTAACAGTCTAGAAGCCAGCCAATCAGGAGATAAAAGCAGGTATGTTCCCAAGGGCTGTCCGGATGCAGGGAGTCTAACAAGCTTGAAGGAAAACTACACAATTTTCTATGCTAGTTGGAGATTTCAACATCCCATACTCAGTGGTAGACAGACTAACCACAAGGAAGAAAGCCCGACTTCTGCAAACCAGCTGGACTCAAGGGTTCTGAAGAATACTCCAAAGGACAGAACAGGTCTTTCTCAGGCACACGTGGAACACTCTCTGGCCAGTCCATATAGTAGGCCTTAAGCAAGTCCCCATGCATGTCAAAGGAGAGAAATCAGACACTCTTGTTCTTAACCACAGTGGGATTAAGTTAGAAATTAAGAGGTTGGGGCCAATGAGACAGCTTATCAGCCAAGGGTGCTTGCTACCAAATCTTACAACCTGAGTTTGATCTCTGGAACCCACTACATGGAAAGAGAACCACCCTTTTTTATTTGTTCTGTTTTTCAAGATAGGGTTTCTCTGTGTAGCCCTGGCTGTCCTAGAACTCACTCTGTAGACCAGGCTGGCCTTGAACTCACAGAGATCCACCTGCCTCTGCCTCCTGAGTGCTGGGATTAAAGATGTGCACTACCACGCCCACCTGGGTGAAAACCACTCTTTAAAGTTGACCTGAGACAAGCTGGGCTTTGTGGCTCATGCTTTAATACCAGCACTCAAGAGGCAGAGGCAGGTGGATCTCCAAACTCAAGGCTAGCCTGGGCTGCAGAGTGAGTTCCTAGACAGCAAGAGCTACACAGAGAAACCCTGTCTCAAAAAAAAAAAACAAAACAACAAGAAAAGGAAAAGAGAAAGAAAAAGGAAGAAAGGAAGGAAGGAAAGAAGAAAGGAAGGAAGGAAAAGAAAGAACAAAAGAAAGAAAGCCAGGTGGTAGTACTCGCCTTTAATTCCAGCACTCAGGAGGCAGAGGCAGGTGGATCTCTGTGAGTTCTAGGGCAGCTGGTCTACAGAGCGAGTTCCAGGATAGCTGGGGTTGTTACACAGAGAAACCCTGTCTCTAAAAACCAAAAATAAGAGGAAGAACTCCAATTCTGTTAGTGTTGAGGGTGCCCCCATGTGCATCCACCCACTCACTCACACCCACTCACTCACACCCACACACCCACTCACTCACACCCACACACGCACACCCACTCACGCACACCCACCCACACACACTCACTCACACCCACACTCCCACACCCACACACGCACACCCACTCACTCACACCCACACAGCACACCCACTCAAGCACACCCACTCACACCCACACACCCACTCACGCACACCCACGACTACCACTTTTCTGGCATCGGTGAAGACAGGATCGTGGTTATCTGGCCCAACTAAAGCAGTCAGATGAGTGAGCAGGGGTCAGGGAGAGCGCCCACTGGAATTTGGGGTTCATTCTGGACCATTTAGTGTCACTGCCGAGAATCTGACACTCCATTCTCCTCTCCCGAGACACTGGATTGTCACCCACATCTGTGAAAGCTGCAACAGAAGCCATCTCTGCAGCAACTGGGCAGGTCTTGGACACTTTCCTATTGGAGTATATTGCTCCTGCAGAGGGCCAGTGCTCAGTTTCCCGCACCCACGTAGGCAGCTCACAACCCATCCTGTTCCAGGGGATCCAATGCCCTCTTCTAGTCTCGTCAAGAGCCTTCACTCGTATATTCAACTCCTCTCCCCACCCCAACATACACACTTAAAAATAAAATGTAAAAATGTAAGACCCCTCCCCCCCATCACTTGCCATACGCAGCTTCCTGTTCCTGGCCCATGACCCTGCCCATCTTCCTGACTGTCCCCGCTTGGAGCTACTTGGATTTTATTTCCTAGAACCCAGAGGCTACCCCCCACTCCCCGCCCTGCCTAGGACTCCAGTTATCACCTCCACAGTGACTCATCTAATTGGCTGTTTGGTTGGTCAGTTGATTTTATTGAATCCCACACCATAACCCAGGCTTCTAAGTCAAGGTAATCCACGTGCATCAAGTATGGGGATTACAGGTGTAAGCCTTGACTGATTTTATTTGGGAAGAGGTCTCTCTATAACGCAGACTGGCTCTATCACTCCAAGTTCCTGACAGCACGCATGCCCCACCCCCAGCGACTGAGTGTAGGCACACTACCCACTTTTTGTACATGTTATTAATTTGATTTACATATTTTATTGGGGCGGGGCACCGTACATATGTGACAGAAGACAGTCTGCAGGAGGTGGTACCATCCTTCCATGATGTGGGTGGGTTCCACCTTTACCTGCTAAGCCCCCTCCCAGTTCTTGTTTGATTTTGAGACAGGGTCTCCTGTATCCCAGACTGGCCTCCGATTCAGTGTAGCTCGGTCTGACTTTAATCCCTTCTGCTCCCACTTTTCAGGTGTTGGGATGTCGGACACGCTCCCCATTCCCAGCCCCACTCCTTTCTTTGTCACTGCTCTTGTTTTGTTTTGGGTTGATTTTGAAGACCTCACCATATAACCCTGGCAGTCTGGAATTTGCCGTGTGTACCAGACTGGCCTCGAACTCACGGAGATACACCTTTATTGAAAGTGATTCACTTTTTAAAGTTGTGTGTTAGTGTTGTGGGTCTGTGCTCATTCACACATATACAGAGGCCAGAAGTAGGTGTCTTTTGTTCTCTAACCTCTTTTTTGAGGCAGGGTCTCTCACTGGATCTAGAATTCACCTCTTGGATAAGGTGGCTGGCCAGTGAGCTCAGAGGATCTGTCCCCAGCACCCCCTGAGGTCACAGGCCCGAAACACTATGCCTGGCTTTTATGTGGGTGGCAGGAATTCAAACTCAAACCTTCATGTACAGCAGACACTTCACCTATGAGCCGGCTCCCCTCCTCTCCCACTCCTCATACTTAAGGTCTCTGAATCAGGGGACCTCAGGGCCTGGTGGTCCTTGGCAGCTCTACATTGCTCACTGTCACCATAGTTACATGGCTGTGCCTTTGTTCCGTTGCTTGCTGTCAGCCAGTTTGTAGGTGCATGCCTGTGTGCTGGCTGGCTCTCCTGCCAGAGGCTTAGTTTTTAGTCCTGGGAGCACCTAGGCACAGCACCAGGGCAATAGGGAAGTCATTTGGGGTGAGGGAGTGCCCGGCACAATCTCTGACAAGCAGGTGATGGCTCTATTAGCTCTCCATTTTAAATTGCCGGTGGAAGGAGAGGGGGATGGGGGAGGTTGTTTGGCCTCTTGTTTTCCAGGAATGTGAAGGGGAATCACAATGGGACCTGCTGACATCCTAAGACAGGGACAGCCTCAACATAGAATGAGGTCTGGCTGCGTTGGCGTCTGAGGTCTTCTGGGGGCACCGGCAAGAGGTGACTCATGAAGCAGTGTTTCCCTAAACACTGCTGGCCTGTTAGTGGGCCTTAGAGGAGAATGACGCTAATGGCTCCCAAAGCGGCTGCAGGTTTGTAGCCTCAGGACCCTGCCACCTCATGGGATGGAGGTAACTGGGCTGATAGAAAAGATCTGGTAACTCTGGGCCTTGGCAAGCAGAATATGGGGACACCTCTAAGACAGACCATGCAGGAACCGTGGCAAGACCTTCGGATTCTAATACCTGAAAACCCTGAGCAGGGCATTTTGCCCATTCTCTGAGCACTGTGGGTAGCAGGTACATTTCATTGCATCTTGGGTGTTTCAGGTGTGGGTTCCTGTTAGTGCCAGAGTCTGTCCACCTCCAAGCGCTGCTGTTGGGGCTAGTGGAGCAGAATTCCAATTGTGAGTTTACAGATCGCGAGTTCTGGACTTGGGAAGGATGCCCGGTATTTCTGTGCTGGCTCTGCCACTGACAGGTGCTGTCACTTCACTGGTGGCCGTGAGGACTAGATGGGGCCTCTCCTGTGTCAGCAGGTGAGTAGGGTTAGCAGGGTGTGATGTCTCCCAGCACACAGAAGGCAAGAAATAGAGATCTCTGAGTTCAAGGTTATCCTGGTCTGCAGAACCGGTTCCAGGAGTTAGGACTACATAGAGAAATCCTACCTTGAAAGTCCAAATAAACAAATAAAGAACTAGTGGGTTCCCTCTTCCATATCCCAGGGGTATCAGGAATCATGTGTCCTAGGTAGTGCCAGCCCTATGACTCCTGTCCTGTTCGTCCTTTCTCTGTGCCATGGCTGATGCAGGGGAATGCTGGTTTCAGGGGTCCCCACCCCTCTGCTAGTCACCCCAATTCTTTCCAGGCCCCTGAAGATGAAGAAGAGAAATAACGAGGCAGAAGCCCAGAGGAAGAAGATCCAGGAGAGAAAAAAAGAAACAAGTTTTATTAAAGCCCCAACACTCGGCTAGAAAAACCAGAAGGGAAGGGAAGAAAGCAGGGAGGCAGGGGAGAAAGAAGGACATTAAAAAAGAGACAGAAAACACAGCAACCCTTTCCATTTAGAAATTGCCAAGTTACACTGACAGGTCACAGAATGTCCACAGAAGCCATCACTGCTACACCGACACAGGCCCTACGGGGTGGATGGGGTGGGTGTGGAGCCAGGCAGGCCTTGGGGACCCCACTTGGGATCCCACTAAAGCCTTGGCCCTGAGGCCCCTGGGGAAACAGTATATTGTGGAAGGGGCCAGAGAGAACCCCCCATGCGGGTAACACAGCACAGTGGGAAGGGGTGAGGGAACCGGGTACAGGGTCCCCCAATGTGGCAGTAATACAGCACAGCGGGCAGGGGTGAGGGGACCGGGTACAGGGTCCCCCAATGTGGCAGTTTCTCTTGTCAAGCACACACTGAAGGACAGAGCGGTGAGGCGCATGCAGCTGAGGGGGGCATTGACGTGCTGTGGGCTTTGAGAAGGTGCGGGGAGGGAGGCCTCGGGAGGGGAGCCTGGCGAGTGGTGCAGGATGATGGAGCACACACGTGCACACGCACACTGACACACACAGAGGCCCTCTCACACGCCTGCCTGCACCGGAACACAGCCACACCCACAGCTCATGTTATCTCTGTCCATCCGTATACAGTCCTCACGTGAATAGCCAGGCATGTCCGTCACACATTACGCCTTCCTCCCAAGGTTCCTGCCACACAGTCATGCTGATGCCCAGGCAGGCTGTGCTCACATACATGTACACAGCTTCACACATACAATATAAGATTTTGCCTATGTACACACAATCCACGCATGTGCACAGGCAGAAGTTATGTAGGCTTGTGCCAATGTGCACACACACAGGCCGCACACAATCCCATACAAATGCCTCCCAGCACACACATGCGCGGGAACCAAAGCGAAGAACTATGTAAATCCCGCGGGCCCTGCCTGAGAGCCCGGGCAGCCCTGTATGGATGGTCACTTGTCCCAGCTCCCCCTCCCTCCACAAAGGACACTCAACTCAGGACAATGACGGAGGGGTGCACACTCAGGTCACAGGGCTGGGGGGGTGTGGGGGCAAGCAAAGAGCAGCAAGCAAAGAGAAATGGAGTGGAGGGGCCCCTTCCCCTCCCCTCCCAAGCCAGGGGTCTCTGTACAGCCAAATCAAACCAAACTGCTTCACGGACTACAGAAGCCAGGCCACACGCCTGTCCCCAGCTCCCTCCCCTGCCAGACAGCAGCCAGGGAGAGCGCTCTGTGGTTTTCTTTTTTTTTCTTTTTTAAATATTTATATAGATTTATATTACGTATATTATATATATATAATATGTAAATATATTTTTAAAACAATATAAAATGTTAAGACACTTCACTTAAATGTAAAGAGTTGCTTGCAATTAAAAGTAATTGCATCATTGTGAGGTCCCTTTTTTTCCCCCCTATTTTCTAGGGTTTTTTTTTTGTTTGTTTTCTTTTTTGTGTTTTTTTTTTATTTTATTTTTGTCTTTTTTTCTGGGAGGGATTTTTTTTCTTCTTCTTTTGTTATTTTTCAAAAAGGCTTGCTTGCCTTGGTACAAAAAGGATCAAAGCTAGAAAACAAGGTGAACCAACAAAACAAAAGCAGAAATTAAAAAAGAAGAAAAGAAACAGAACCCAGTTTTCCCTCCCTCCCCAAACGCAACAGCTGCCACTGGCCTCCCCTGCCAGGCTCCAGGGTCTTGGGGCTCCATCCCTTCAACAGTTCCTACCTGTGCTTACCAGGTGATGAGTCTCAAGACCACACCTCTGTGCTTACTCTACCTTGTGCTCCGAAGGGAGCCCCCTCCAGCCTTCTTTCTTGCTCTGGCCCTTCTGTGCCTGCTGGGGACCAGGCCAGGACCAACCAGCCTCTCCCTTTGCCTCCAGGGCCCACCCAAAAGCCAGTCTGCCCTACAAGGTATCCATAGACTGGAATACTAGCTGGTGGCTCTGCCTTGGGGACCCTCAAACACCTCACAGTGGTCACCAGATCCCCATAGGCAAATCACATCTCACCCCTTCCCTGAAAACCCTCAAATCATAAAGGCTGGCTGAAGGTCATGTTGCCCCCAGCTAAGGGTCAACTTTACTGCACCCACCCCCCCTTCTCCCTGTTTCCCTCACAACCAGACCCTACCCACCCTCCAAACATGTCTAGGCCCTTCCACCTTGCCCACCCCCCACCCATAAAATAAGTTAATGGCATTTAAAGTGCTAAATTAGGAAACTAAAAGTTACCAAGTGCCCTGCTCAGGGTTGCCCTCTCCCAAGGCAGAGCCCCAGGGGCAGACCGAACGCAGGAGCAACCAACCAGAACGGGGGGAGGCACCCACCAGAACAGGGGGCTCCCACCAGAACAGGAGGCTCCCACCAGAATGGGGGGGGGGGGGCGCCTCTGTCCTTAACTAGCACCAGCCAGACACTGAGCAACAGTGAGCCAGCTCTTCCCCTTGCACCAAGTGTCCCCTCCCCCAGCCTTGGCCTCTTCTCTGGCAATCCCATCCAGCAGGCCTGCCTACAGGCCCACCCTGGTTCAAGAGGAAGCCGCAGGCCAGCAGTAGAGGCGTGTTTCTTCGAAGGCTGGACAGGCAGTGGGGCATCTCCCAGGCCAGGGTCTGTCTCCCTGGTCCGTCGTCCAGTCTGATGCTGGGTCTGTCCATGTCCATTAGTTCCTCCAGGAAGGAACCCAGTAACGAACAGGAGGGGGGTCTCCACTGCAACAAGTCTCCGTGGCTCAGAGTTGGTTCCGAGTGTTCTTGGGAAGTTAGGGGAGGTGGGGACGTTGGATGGACTTGGGAGGAAGAGGGTGAAAGAGCAGAGGGAGAGAAGATGACAGGAAGTAGGCCGAGGGGGCCCCCCTCCCCGTTAGGGAACAGGAAGTAAAGAAAAATCGGTGTGTTTGGTTTTTAGTTTTCTCTTTTGCTCTTTAAAAAGAAAAAAAGAAAAAAGATCATTAAAAGAGAATCACTTAAAAAACCAAACACACCGAGAGGGGATGAGAGAGCTGAGGGCCACGGCCCCAAAACCCTTCAGGGGTGAGAGTTGGGAGGGTGGAGTGGGCATGAAAGGAAGTGGGGGACAATGGCAGGAGGGAGGGAGGGAGGGAGGGGCAGGCCAGGTGGTGGTGTGAGGGCTTCTAGAAGGAGATGGAAGAATTCCTTGCCCCAAAGGAAGTCAATACAGGGATGGAGGTTCTGGAACCAGAGGGCTTTTCTGAGACTGGGCTCGAGGTCTCATTCGACCCGCTCATTTCTTTAGATGGTTTAGTGGCCTGGAACAAAAACAGGGGTCAGGGATCAGAGAGAGCGAAGGAGAGCCTCCATGCTGGCTCCTGGCTGAAGTGTTGAAAAATGGAAAAATCCCACAAGTCCAGGAGAAAATGAACTGCGAAAGTGAGAAACGAGAGGGGACATCTGGAGAGTGGTCCTCTGAACTGGGGGACAGGGTGGGGAAGTGTCTGGGGGGCAGAAAGAAGGGTGAGGGAGGCATGGGGTTGGGTCAAAGGCCCAGAAACCAGAGTAGGGGTGGCTTCAGTCCATGGTTACTGAGAGGAAAGACAGAAGACAGAGGAGATGCCAGAGAAACCCAGGCAGAGGGGACAAGGGACGGGAGGGTGGGGAAGGGAGGGAAAAGAAGTAAAAGGTTAGCAGCGACAGGGGTGCATCTGAAGCCAGCAGATGGGGGTCAGTAGCTCAGCCCAGCTCAGGTGCCACCTCCGGCCTGGGTGGGAGGCCCCTGGTGTAAGCAGGGGTGAGCTAGCCCCACCTGGAAACTCCGAGGAGGCATCCTGCCCCTCCCCTGCCAGCCCAGAATCCCTACTGTAGCCCTCCCTGTCCACGGGCCCCAGCTCTGAGTGGTCCTAACAGTAGCTGGAGACCAGGCTATGCTCCCAGGCTCACTCAGTCGGAAGGCCCTACCTGCACGTGCACACACACACACACCCTCCTTGCTTCTGTGTTGATCTTGTCCTTTGGAGTCATGGTCTCTCAAGTAGGGTTTAAGAGCCACCTGCATCATCTCCAAAGGACAATCCATGGCATGTGTCGCAAATGCATTTCCTAGGGCCCTTTCCTTCCAGAATCATATCTACTTTGGGGTGGGAATGTGCATTTTGAGCTGAGTGAGGGTGTCACAGACCGGACTGCTGGAACCCTGTGACTGAATCCAATGACTCACCTGGAATTTAGCTACCAGGCCTTGGGGAAAAAAAAAAAAAAGGCAGGTGCTAGTAGCTGTACACGCCTTTAATCCCAGAACTCAGGAGGCAGAGCAGGCAGATCTCTGTAAATTTGAGCTAGCCTGGGCTACAGAGCTAGTTCCAGGACAGTCAAGGCTACGCAAAGAAACCAAGTCTCGAGGGGAAAAAAAAGCAAAAAACAACAAAACAAGGCTAAGGTTAGAACTTAGCAAATTCCAACCCAGTCTGGGCTACATAGTAAGACCATCACAACAAACCAAACCGGCGACAAAAGCCACTATAAAGAAAGAATGAAGAGGATCGTGTGGCACACTCCAGTGACCTGCCTGAGGCTCCGGGGATCAACGCTGGGCCTGTCCTCCCCACCCAGCTGCTAGGAAGGCTCTCCCAAGTACCCTGGGGTGGAATGCTACCATCTTCAGTAAGCCCTGCCTATGCAGAGGAAGGCAGGAGGTCGCCACATTGCTGGCAACTGTGTTCTCGGCAGGCGTACAAGTGGCTCACCAGTGACTCATACAGGCTTTACCAAAGTGTCAGCTGGTAGCCAAGGCTTCCCTTCCCTTTTGGGAGAATCAAAGCAAGCTGTGGATTCAGCAGTGGATCCTCTCTGTGGCCCTTACCATCAGGCAGGGTCCTACCCCACGGCATTCTTTGTCCATTGCTGCGGGCCAGGTGTGACCGGGCCCTCCTGGGCCTTGGAACAAACTCAAAACAGGCACCTAAGGGCTCTCTGCCAATTGCCTTGGGCTGGGATCTGTCCCGCCCCCACTTCTGCCTTCCTGTTGCCCACTTAAAGTTATAACTCGGAGCTGGAGAGGCAGCTCAGTGGCTAAGAGTACTTCTGCTCCTGCGGAGGACCTGAGGGCAGGGAACTCAGCGCCCCCTGTAACTCTAGCCTGAGGGGTTCTAACGCCCTTTTCTGGCATCTATGAGTTTCTGCACACAAGTGGCTCCCAAGTGCGTACCAACTGACTCAGGCTCACACACGTGCACATAATAAAAAATTAAGCCAGGTGGCCGTGGTGCACACCTTTAATCCCAACACTTGGGAAGCAGAGGCTCTCTAGACCAGGCTGGCCTCGAACTCACAGCGATCCACCTGCCTCTGCCTCCCGAGGGCTGGGGTTAAAGGTGTGCGCTACCACTGCCGGGCTGCATTCACACATTTATGGGGATGTCTCCCCAGGACCTCCTCATGGAGACCATCTGGGATTTCACGTTTGGTGGAGTTCTCAAGAGCCAGCTTCCATCTGGGGATACACTGGCTGAACTCCATCCGAGATCCACCAAAGCAAAGCTTGGCAACTCTATGCTGCTCAGAGTCACCCTGTCTCTGAGGGTTTCCATCACATCCATGGCACCTGCCAATGGTCTCCTGTGAGCTGGGTTTATTTTTAAGATTTATTATTTCTATTTTACGTGTATGTATGTTTTGCCTGTATGTATGGTTGTGTACCCTATCTGTTCCTGGTGCCCATGGAGTTCAGCAGAGGGCACCAGATCCCCTGCAACTGGAGCTACAGATTGTCATAAGCCACTATGTGGGCGCTGGGAATTGAACCTGGGTCCTCAGTGAGAGTAGCGATTGCTCCTAACCACTGAGTCATCTCTCCAGCCCCTCACTACACCCACGGGTCTAGATTTTGTTAAAAGAAGCAGAACCTCTGTGAGGAGACAGAAGCCTAAGAGAGATTCAGCTTTCCTCTGAGAGAAGTGGGACACTTCTGGACCCGGGGTCCATGGCAGCGCCCTCCCCTGCTAAACCACACTGCACCAGATTCTCAGGCTACTCTAGGACACCTGTCCCTCCAGGCTCTGATTCAGAGTCCCCTACGGGGCTGGATCAAGCTGGAGCCGCCCGTCCTGCTGGCCTCCTTAGCTAGGTCATCCTGGTGCTGCCCAGGGACTAAAGGAGCTGCCTCCTCTCTCCCCCTAGGGTGCTCACAGCTCCGGTTAGTACTAGTCCCTGGTCTTTGTTCCCTCAGCTCTCTGGTGGTGTCTTCATGTGAGCCACTAAAAGAGACAGAGTAAATGGCTGGCCTACAGGAAGTGTCCACGGCTTCGCATCTATTCCAAGCCCTGGATTCCTCAGCTCCGGGAATCCAGTTCCTACCCCACCCACTTTAGGTCCTATGCACAGCACGCAAGGGCTCTTCTGGCCACCTCGGTGCCTCTGTCATGCCTGTTGCCATGCATGGCCCTCTGGGAATTTCCCCTCTGCCTCGGTGTCCCTGGTCCCCACCACTTCGATTCTCTTCATCTCATCAACATGGGAGCTCTGAGGTCAGGCTTAGTGCCACAGGCCTGTCATCCCATCTACTCAGGATGCTGAGGCAGAATCCACAGCTCAGGGTCTGCCTGGGATACTGAGTGAGACCTTGTCTTAGTGATCCAGGCGGCCGGAGCATGTGCACAGCATGCTGGAGCAGAGCCTATCGGAGGACTAGCAGTGAGGACAGGGCAGCAGTGAAGGGATTCAGTCTGGGTTTGAGGACACCGACTTTAAACAGCATTGTGTGTAAGCTATCATCAAATATGCACTCTAGAAAGTCCTCACAGGTCTTAAAGAACCGATGAGAGGAGACAGTCGCAGACGACCTTAGAAGATGATGAATTAGGCAGAGACATGGTCTGGCTTGGTTTTCTAATTTTTCTTTTCCTACAGTACTGGGGGCTCAAACCTGTGGTCTCCCCGCCAGTAGGTGGGCAATCCTCTGCTAAGCCAAACCTCCCATATCTGATTCTTTACTGCTGCATTTAAAAATCTTCCTAAGGAACATCTATTGCTTTGCCAGAAAGCAATGTTTTGAAAGGGCAGACCAGGGCACTACATGAGTGACAGGAACAGCTGGCAAAAGGGCAGCAGGGTGGGACAGAGGCCCATGCTTGGGTGGGGAGGGGCAGGAAGGGACCAGTGGCGTCCAGCAGCTGTGGGGTTTGGGAGCTGGGCGGTGGCTCTGAGGGGACAACTGGGGAAGACACGGGTTGGAGAGATGTGTCACTAGACAGTGGAGGAGCTGGAGACACAGACGGAGAAGGGGTGGAGGGGAGGCGCCCACCGCAGTGGCCCAGGCAGGCAAAGTAAAGCAGGGACAGAAAGGAGCCAGGGATAGGACAGTGACCTGGCTGTGACATCTGTCACCTCATTGGCCATCGGGGCTGATTTAGCTGATCTGTCTGGCTAGGTGGGTGTCCCTCCTTCCTCACAGCTCCATATTTCTCCCTCCCAAGCCTGCACCGTTGGTCCAAGAGGACAACCTTCTCCAGCAGCTTTTCCTCCATAGAAGAGCATCCTTGGGCCAAGGGCATTGAAGCAGATGTACTCTCCAGCTCAAACCTTCCAACAAGCTTTCAAGGTTCACAAAGGAACCAGGGAGGGCTGACGGGAGAGCTGGGGTGGCAAATACCAACCCAGGTAGAGTCTACAGTGGCACAGATAAGGGGGATGTCTAGACAGCCACATAACCTGGGGTAGTGAGAGAGAGAAAGCCTTCGTGGCCCTTGGCGGCCTTGCCCCACCCTATGGAGAGGTCTAGGGAAGCCTGTCTTCCTAGGAGATAAGGACTTGTGTACCAGGGTTATCTGGGGCTATGGTGGGTGGGCTTTAAGGTAGCTAGGTCAGTCTTGGTTCTAACGCTATTTGCTGTGCAGGTCTTTATGCTGCTATAGGCTGAACCTCACAGCCAGCCTTGGCCATCTCTAACCTTCTACTTCTGAGCCTAGGGTCTCCATCTGCACAGAATGAGGCCCTCCTGCGGCCTCACCCTGGCCTGGCACCCAAGAAGCATGCAGGAGAGATTCTAAACTGAGCACGTGCCCCGAAGGGCTCTCTAGAGCTACATCCAGGGCCTCCTCCTCTTTCCGACCAGGCGGACCACACAAGCAGGCTCCAGGGTCACAAGCACCAAGGGCAAAGTCTGTCAACTCCAAACCTACAAAGGGAACCCCAAGGGGTTGTTGCACCTGCAGGATTCCTACCACACCTCATCCGCCCTTCCAAAGGTCAGCTGAGCCCACCAACCTGTGACTCAAACGCGGGTGCAAAAGCAGCTTCCTTCTGAGCTGAGGGCGGAATGAAAGGTGCTGAGCAAGAGAGAGCCATGTACACGGGCAAAGATGGGCAGGAGGGTAAGATGGCTGCCACACGGGCTGGCTTTAGAAGTGACCCAGCCACTGAGGAAGGGAGTGAAATCTGCACAGGGCAGGCACTGCACAGGCAGGGAGCGAGGCTCCTCTGTCCTTGGGCAGGAAACAGGCTGTGAACTCAGAGACTCACGTCTATACCAGATCCAAAGCACCAGGGCTGCAAGGAGGAACAAGATGGAGGGCATCGACAGGGAGGGACCCACAGTAACTGAAACCATCACTGGAACAGGAGCACACAGCAGAGGCTTGGTGTATGACCCCCCCAGGGGCCTGGGTGTCCCGGATCCCACCCTCACCTGCTGCTGGGCCTGGATCCTCATGTACTCCGCCCTTTGCTTGCTGTGCTTGCCTTTGTCGGGGCTGCCTGCTGGGCCCTGGGTTGCCTTCAGCCGAGAGGCTCCTGGAGTCACAACCTTCATGGGTGGCACGGTGCCACCACCACTCTGTGGAAAGAGAGAGAGGGCTGAGGTGGGACCGTTCTGCATGGAACCCTAAGCACTGGGTGAAGGTTCTGGGGTTAGGACCTCCTCAGGGAGGCCCTTGGATGCCTGGAGACCCCTCGCTGACTCCCCATAAGCACCCAAGACTTAAGCCCCTCTGAGCCCAGGTTCAAGGCCTCCCTGGAGGAGATGATCAGGCTAGTCAGAGCTCATATGTGACTTTCCCGAGTGTCCCAGAGGAAGCCACTTTTACAGGGAGGGCCCCAGTACCACTCAACTCCCAGCCAACACCTTCCTGGTCCCAGGAGACAGTTGGAATTGGGGGTCTCTAATAAGAGAGCATCCCCAGGTCCGCACCACCCCTAGAGCAGAAGGCAAGAGGTGAGATTTCACCCCATAGATGGGCACATCTGGCCCCATGACCCTCCCCCATATAACAGCCCTTCCCAGAGAGACTCTGGGGACCCAGAGGCGCATGATCAGTGAAGTGACAGCGACAGAAAGAGTCAGAGACAGGAGGGGGAGGAAGGGGTGGAGAAGAGGAGAAAGCTTTATTCCCTGGTTCACAGAGAGCAGGCAGGGCCAGAGCCCTCCTGATTCATGCCCAAACAGCAGAGCTGAGTCCTGGGTGAGCCGGCTTCCCGGCCGCCCCTGGCTCTGCCCATAGGCCCTGGCCTGGAAACAGGGCTCCCAGAGGGAGGTAGGCTGAAACAAAGACAGTGGAGGTGATAGAGGCGGGCTGAGCTTCTGTGGCTCCACTCTCTCCACTCCGCAGGCCCAGAGACTGGAGCAGGAAGGCAGCAGGAAAGAAGGGGAGGCAGCCACCTGAGGGGATGAGGGTGGGGACTGGGGGATGCTTGGACACGTCATAGTGGTGTTGGCGCCCATCTCGCTCAGGGTGGCTTCTAGCTCCTGGAGCGTCTCCTCCAGACTGTCCATACGCAGTGGGGTAGCATCCTGTACTGGGTGGCCTGAGCCGACGGCCTGTTGTCCCCTACTGCAAGCTTGACTGTCACATTCAGAGTTTTGAGGGGTCTCCTCTGAGTGGGTCTCAGCAGGCTGAGTCTCATCTAGCGATGGTCCCCAAGGACAGAGAACTCCGGCTTCTGCATTGTCTGGGCTCCGTAGAATTGTCGGTTCCTTTCTGGACAGTGAGCTGCTCCAGAGTACCTCAGCAGCTAGTCCCAGCAAGGCCTGTGGGCCATGGCAAGCCTTTCTGCTGCTGACCAAGGTCCGGGGTCTTGGTGTGGGGACTGTCCTGGGGCCCAGTTCCTCTAAGCTGCTCTCTGGCAGAGAGGGAGAGCCGGAAGTGCATTCTGTCAAGATGATCTGAGGGATACAGAGAACCCTGGGACCTGAGGCAGCCTGGGGGGGGACAGGAGACGAGAAGGATTGTGATCCCTGCAGACTGAATTTTGAGCTGGGGTGCGCTCACTTCCTTCCTCTCCCAGATGGGGAAACTGAGTCGGGGAAAGATCTGATCATGTCACCCAATAAACTGAGCCTTGAGTGCAGGTGTCTTTCTATCCCGCATAGCCCGTGGACTCCTGCTTCCTGGTGTCAATGCCAGCTGCAGAAGCATGGGGGTGTGTGCCTTTCCCATCACCCCAGTAAACTTGGGAGCAAATCTCAGGCTTCGTCCCACACGCGATGGGATAGTGACATGGGTGTGCAGCAAATTAAATGAGTCCATGAGGACATCCTACTAGTGCCTGGCATCATTTGAGCAAATACAAGCTACTGGCTAAATTGACCCAAACAACCGAGACTTTCCTCAGCATGAGCAGAGAGTGGACGCTGGCCTCCACCTCAAGGTTCGGGCCATCTTCCTTATCTTGGGCTCTGCACTCACACCCATGAGGCCCATCCCCAGGGGAGGAGCTTGGCCATGGCCAGTTCCTTGGTCTCAGACACCGGGCAATGCTTCAGTTAGGCACCTGTTTCTGCGTGAGCTCCTTGGCTATGGTTCTGGACTAGACCCAGGGGCCTGAGGGACCCTGTGAACCTGAGTGAATTCTGCCCTAACTCTAAGTACCAGCCCATGTCAGGCACTATGGCCTATGTCTTCATCTTCAATGCTTTCTGTAACCCATGAAATGACTGTCACTCTCCCTGTCCCCGCTTCACAGGTCAGGAGCACTACGACTCACGCCTTGTCCAATCCTCGGCAAGTTAATGGTAGAGCCAGGATTTGAACTCAGATAGCCTAGGTTCAAGTTCAGTGTTCTTTTCACTAAACACGCTGTGAGGAGACCCCTCCTACCCCTCCCAAGACAACCCACCCAGCCCTGCCACTGCTTACCTGAAAATAGGGTGCACACAGGGAAGGCAGAGAGGGCCCCCCCGTTCATCAGGCTCCTCTGCCTGACGACGCCTCAGGATGCAGACAGACAGGCAGCCAGGGAAGGGGGCTTGCCTGCTGGGTCCCCTCATGACTGAGTCCCAGAACCAGAAGGGGACAGAGCTGGGTGCTGAGGATAAAACCAGTCAGGAAGTGGCCATCTCACACTGCTCACTCCCTGAGGACTCAAGGGACAGACTCCAGACAGCACTGTCCACCTTCTGATGCCTGTCTGCACCCCTGACAGAAAGTCAAAGGCCACCAGGCCTCAAGTCAAGCCCCAATGCTGGTGGCAGCCATCATGAACCCCATTGTGGGCTGGGAAAAATCACACAAGGAAGGGAAGGGTGTGGGCGCAGGAAGTTGAGGACAGAGGTCCTCTTACCCCAACTTGACTGGGCAGAGGGAGACCTCCCCAGACCTTTCTCCACCCTCCTACTGGAGCACAGTCCCTGGGGTGAAGACAGCAGCCCCACCCCCACAATCCCAAGAGGAAATAAGGTGCAGTGGGAAAGCAGCGAGGGCGGAAGTTTAGAAGGAGAACTGGAAGAGAAAACCAGCAGCCAAGGAAGGCCATGGGCTTCTCTCATCCTAAGTCCCCTGACCAAGGCGGCAAGAATGGCCATGGGGCAGGGAGAGGCTTAGGGAAGCCATCCCCCTCTCCATTCTGTCCTGACCCTCCCCGCCCCCGCTCCCACCCCAGTGCAAGGCATAGATTTCAGTGGGAGAAGCACGTGCCTTCCCTGGCATGGGCAGCAGAGCAGGGCATAAAGAAGGGACCAGGCGAGGTATCAGGACAAGGTCAGATCGAGTTGGACTCTAAGTCACTTCCTGAACAAGATCCAAATTCCAATCTTGGTCTCGGGACAACTCACAGGCTTTGGACCCAGCCTTAACTCAGGCTGTAAATGGGAACAAGGCATCTGAGAGCCAGAGAGAATCAGGTCTGCACAGACTTCAAGGGTCACACAGGACACCTAGGCTGCAGTATCCCAGGGAGACCCCCCTGGGAAGCCTCGGGGAGGGACAAGTTGTGCGGTTGCGCGCTGCCCTTGGCGTGTGCGGGAGCGTGAGTCCACGGGCGTGAAGCTGGGGCAGTGGCAGAGAGGCTGGTGTGCATGGCGTGTTAGCGGGTTAGCGTGAGAGGTGCGGGAAAAGGAAGCTGTGGAGGAACAGGCAGAGAGAGCCGTGAGAGGTGCAGGGAGGCCTGAGAGGCCTGTTACCTTCCATGGGGAGCTCAGAGCTGAGCCCCCAGGGGACCCCAGGTCCTGGGGGGACAGCAAGGTGGGGATCGGCTGGCGACGGGGCGTAGGGGGAAGGGAAGATACTGAACTTCTTTCAAAGACCTGGGGAGCAGAAGGCAGGGGCAGGTTTGGAGGATGGAACCCCAGTGAGGACCCAGGCGCTGGCTAAGTACCTAGGCACCTATGGAGGGTGGCCCAGGATGCCAAGGGCCCTGGTACCTCACCATGGCCACTGACCCACTGGGCCTCTACTCTCAGGCCTCCACAGGGCCCTGACAGTCAGGAACTCTGGCATGGGGCAAAGATTTCTGAGACCCCTATAAGCGGTGACTTGTAGTAATGCTAGGCCCTTTGGCACGAGGGTCTCCAAGATTCTGTGCCCAGAACACTAAGGCACGAAGGGTTTTGGAGCATGAGCTGTCCTCAAGATTGCTTGAGTAGGGTCTCAGTAAGCTCGGAATATCCAGGTCTGGGACAGAGTGTAGTGGGTCTTTGGGTCCTGGGGGGGGGGGGCAGGGAGAGGAATCTGAGAGAGTATAATGAAAACTCAGACCTACCAGGAGGAACTTTAGACTGTCTCCTTCCATTTCCCAGCGGAGAAGAAACGGAAGCTAAGCAGATTGGGTCCTAGGGCTGGCTGGCACTCTCCTGCCTGCCCAGGACCTGCTGCCCAGCCCTGAGGAAGGCTTGGCAAGGAACTGAGCCTGGCTGAGGCCTCGTTCAGTCACGCCTGACCCACCTCTAGCTCAGCGATGATGCGCTCCTCATCGTCCTCATCCTTGATGGCAGAGGCCATGATGGGTGGCGTGGAGGCAGGGCGGGCCACCTCAGACACGGCCCGGCGGAGCTTCACCTGGGGCTTCTGGACCTCCAGCTCCTCGGACTCAGCCTTCTGTAAAGCCCCCACATCTTATCAAGCCTAGGTCCTTCCCTCCCTCCAGCAGCGGCTCACCACACCCACCACCAACCACCAGTTTCCTGGCAGGAAGACCCACCCCGTCCCTGCCAGAGCTTGATGTGGGATTAGAACAACACACAGCCCTAGAATCCAAGCTAGATGTCAGGTTGGGTTGTTCTGCCTGACTGCCATCCTCTCAAGCTTCCCCTTAAGGTACCCCTGAACCCCACCAATTGGGGTGTACCTTGATGAAGGCTGAGTCTTTCTTGCTGGTGACCACTACCTCTCCGGTGCGTGTGGTGGTCAGGCCGTGGGAGGAAGGGAAACTCCGGCGGGGAGGGGGTGGCGGGGGCGACTTGGAGGGCTTCTCTGTGCGGTATCTGGGCACCGTGAGCTCATCTGCAAGCAGTGGGGACCTGGGGTCAGGGACCCGCCACAACAGTATGCACAGTCCTGTTCCTCCAGGAACGACCGAGAGGACAGCTCAGGGGAGAGGAAGGCAGGACCCCTCTCTTTCCACTTTCCTATGCCTGTCACCGGCTCACCCAGCCCCACCTCCCCCAATGGCACTCAGCTGCTCAGAGTTGTCAGGGAGCCAGGAACACTGTGGCACCTTGGCACTGAGTTGCTGACCCAGCATGGACATCCCGACATCACCAGAGGCCCAAGGCCACTCACTCAAGCCTGGGACTTTTGTGCCACTCTGAGCCGCCTCGTGGCCACAGCTGTCCCTCAGCCCTACCAGACTCAGCTTCATCCTTTCTCTGAGGAGTTTGGTCCCCGCTCACCATCCCCCTTCCTCCAGCCTGGTTTCCATGGCAACCCACTAAAAGGTCACTCAAACCATAACACCCTTGCCTTTCATTCTCCTGGGGCTCTCCACCAACCCAAATAGTCTGAGTTCTTAGCCCAGCACCTTCCACAAGCTCTCAGCCTTGCTCTGCATTAGGGCCCAGCTCTGGACCCTGCTCCAACCTGGCAGCATCCCCCCCTGCACTTGTCATTCTGCCCCCTGAAGGTGCGCTCACCGTGGGGGATGTGCCTGCTCAGTCCTAGGACTGGATGGTTCCAGGCCGGCTCAGGAACAGCACTTAGCCCCTTTGTGCTAGGGATGCATTAAATGTGGCCCGGGACAGATTACGTAACCATTTGGAGTCTGTCCTCTTTGTAAGGAGGGAATGACTGTGTCTGCCTTCTTCAACTGCTGCATCCAGAAGGCCTCGGGTAGTCAGTGCCCAACAAATGTCACAATCTGTCACACCATTAAATCCTAAGCACAGTCTGCAGAGATGGCTCAGAGGCTAAAGGTGCCTGCTGTACAAACCTGATGACCTGAATTTATCCCATGATCCCACAGTGGAAGAAAAACATTAATTCCCACAAGTGGTCCCCTGACATGTATGCACTTCACACACACACACACACACACATACACACACAAATAATAAGATAATTAAAAATCTTTTAAATAAAAAAAAATTCTGAGGCTGGAGAAATGAGTCAGTGATTAAGAGCACTGGCTGCTCTCCAAGACCAGGCTTGATTCCCAGCACCCACATTCCCAGCACCCACGTGATGGCTCAAAGCCATCTGAAACTCCCATTCTAGGGGATCCAACGCTCTCGGGCCTCCTCAGGCACCAGGCACACACGTGATGCCCAGATATACATACAGGCAAAATACCCATACACATAAAAACAGAAAAATAAATTCTGAGCTCTCTGAAGCACCTTTCCCAGTCAGGGTCCTGGAAGAAATGCATGAACCACCGATGACCGTGCCTCTCCTTCAGGTGCCCCACCACCATCCTGCAGGCGTGGGGTGTCAGGGCCCTGGCATACAGGTCAGCACTGCACTGTCCTCAGAGCGGGGAGAAAATTGGATGGACTCCAGCTCACCCTGTCCTTCTGTATCCCGGTCCCCCCAGTGATCACTAATGGCTAGCACCCCATTCTCTGGCAGCACAGCTACCATGACTCATTACCAGTGCATCCCCTACATGTCAAGCTCTGAGGATGGGCCTTACATCCCCATACCTGAACCTCTTCTCCCACTGGGCTCTGTCCGGGGGGCTGCCTTCTGACCATGGGGCGCCTTGGGGGGCTTGTGGTCTGGGGTGGGGGTGGGTCCTGGGTGGGCTTTGCTGGCACAGTCCAGGTCCGGGATGGCCTTGAGCAGCTCAGCCTGTGTCTCTTCCAGCAGCCGGTTGATGTCCTTGGCACTGTACTGGGTTAGGGCTGCCCGCTTCTCTTCCCAGTCTCTCTCCGCAGCCTTGAAAAAGGAAGCAGAGCTGGTGTCAGGGCTCCTGCCCATGACCCCCTGAGCTCTGCCCATCAGCTCTCCCCCAGGCCACATGAGCTAAGAACAAGAACTTCACGGAGATTTAGCCCCTCCTACTGGGTGTTAAACATTGTCCCTGTAGCTTAGAGAGATCACTTTTAATAAATACATTATTAGGTCTATTTCTGGACATTCTATTCTGTTTCATTGACTACCCAGTCTGTGTTTATACAAGCACAATATTGCTTTAATCATTATCACTTTATAGTATACTTCCTGTCGAGATGGGTAAATGTCACCAATATTATGCTTTTCAGACTCCTGGTCCTCCTCCTAAAGGGCCATGTGTCCCTTCAGTGCCTGCCATTCCAGGTGACAGCAAGAATGTGAGCCTAGTTTGTGCCCCGCCCTGGTCCATCACCTCAACAGACACTGCTTTGTCCGCGCTTCTCTTGCTGGGAGCATCCAGGCCTTTGGTGGGGTTACTGCTCTTTGGGGTAAGAGGGGCTCCTTCGGCAGGCCCACTCAGCTCATGGAGATTCAGCGGAGGGCTGGGGGGTGGTATTTCAAAGTCCAAGCCTTTGCTGAAGTCTGTTTCAGCTGCCACTTTCTTGGGAGACTGGTTCAGGAGATTGTTGGGGGGTGGCCACACACCCTCATCCACTTGCCTAGGGTTGGGAGAGTTAGAAGCAGCTAGTGAGAGATGGTAGCCCCTGGAGGGGAACCTGTGAGGGGGGCAAGCCTAGGAAGGTATGTGAGGAAAAGCCAGGCATTTGCACGCAGGGGTCACAGGTCAGAGTTGGAGAGATTTAACTGGTACAGAGTGACCTCTGAGGAGTCAGAATAAGGGCCAGGTGTTCCCATAGGTTTGGGCCTCGTGTGTAACCCCCTGGGAAGTTAAAGACAAAGGAGAGAATGACCTGCGGATCTGGGCCAGCGTGTCAGTGACCCCCCGGCAGCGCTTGAGAAGTCCATCAAGGCGCTGAGGTTCCTCCTTCAGGAACTTCACTGCCTCCACCTCTACACGCAGCACGACGCGCATCTTACTCTGCAGGCCTGGGAAATGAGCTGAGAGGGCAGGAGGAGTAAGCTGGCTGGGGAGGAGCACCCAGGAGTTGGCACACTGCGGGGAAGCACAGCAGGGAAGCCCTCGGGGTCACCTTTGCCAAGGCAGGCTCACCCTTGAGCTCTGTTAGCGTCTCCCCAAGCTGCTTCAGCACCAGCGCCTTCTCTTCCAGTTCAGGACCGGGTACCAGCCGGTGGTTATGGGTCACATCCCTCTGGATCTTCTCCACTGACTTCTCTAGGTCACTGCAGGCACAGAGAGACCCTTCTCAGCCCCTCTGGCCCCAGCCTAGCCCCCTGAAATTGAGCAGCTGGAAAGAAATTGTGCCACCAATCAGATCAAAATTAAAAGCTATAGCCAGGTGTAGTGGCTTACCCCTGCCATCCTAGAACGTGGAAGGCTGAGGTGGGAGGACTGTGGAAAGTTTGAGGCCAGCCTGGGCTACATAGTAAGACCTTGATGCAAACAAAACAAAGCATTAAAAAAAAATCACAAAACCAAAGCCCCACTAGGCTACATGCCCAAGTGAAGTCGGCAACGCTAGCTCTCAAAGATGAGACTTTCACACGGTTCTTTACGAGGTACCGCGGCCTCCGCACAAGCACTGATCTACAGTAACATCACCTCTCTCCCTAACTTTTCCACAGAAGCAGTGGAGAAGACGGTGGCCCCAGCAAACCTTACGTAGCCTCCAGGCAGAAGTACCCATCTGAGGACACAGTCATGAGCATCATCTTTTGCCAAATGACCCTGCCCCAGAGCCTTTCACCTCAAGGTCAAAACTGCTTCAGGTTTTCAGTCCGTTCGTCGGAAACATTTACGATCCCACATATTCCTAAAACGCAAACCAGGAGCTGAGCATAGCGGCACAAACGTGCCATCCCGGCATCTGGGAGGCCTCCCAGCTTTGGCGGCTGGGGACAGGATCACAAGTTTAAGGACAGCCTGGGTTCAATACAAACCAGCCAACCAAAATCCCAACCAAAGCAAACCAAGTCTTACAAGTCTTCACTCTGTGTGTAAGTTCTTATGTTCCTTTTTAAATTTTTATTTATTTATTTATTTATTGGTTTTTCGAGACAAGGTTTCTGTGTGTGTATCCCTGGCTGTCCTGAAACCAGCTCTGTAGAACAAGCTGGCCTCAAGCTCATAAAGATCTGCCTGCCTCTGTCTCCCAAGTGCTGGGATTAAAGGTGTGCGCCACCACTGCCCGGTTGTGTTAAGTTTTTAATATGTGGGTGGGAGGGAGGCCAAGGAGATGGCCCAGTGGGTAAGGTGCTTGCTTACGCAGGCATGAGGACCTGAGTTCAGATTCCCAGCACCCACCTAAAAGATGAGCACAAGAATGAACACCTTTAACCCCAGCCTTGGGTGAGGAGGGGGCAGAGACAGACCAGTTCTGGGGGCTCACTGGTCGGTTCCAGGGTCCGTGAGAGACCTTGCCTCCAAAGCTAAGGTGGAGAGGTGGAGAGATGCTCCAGCAGTTAGTGAGCAATTGTTGCTATTGCAGGGGACCTGGGTTCAGTTCCCAGCAGCCACATGGTGGTCCAGAAGCCTAAATCCAGTTGCAGGGGATCCAGTGCCCTCTTCTGACCTCCCTGAGCACCAGACATGGACACGGTGCACACATACATATACATACATTTATATATGCAAGCAAACATATGCACAAGATAAAATAGATATTTTTTTAAGTGGAAAGTGATAAAGACACCTGACATCAACCTCACACCCAGTGTGCACCCACAGACACAAGTGTACCCACAGTCACACGTCTATACCACATCATCTATATATAATAGATAGATAAAAATGAAACCCATCATCCTGAGGCTAAACCCCAACCTTAGCTCTACAGTCATCAACATCTGAGTCTTGCCCCTTCGCTGCTTTCCCAGCAGAAGGCTCTGACACAATCACCTAATATCCCTGGGCTCTCTGGGCTTCAATCTTCTCACTCAAAAGAGGAGTATGAGGGCTGGAGAGATGGCTCAGCGGTTAAGAGCACTGCCTGCTCTTCCAAAGGTCCTGAGTTCAATTCCCAGCAACCACATGGTGGCTCACAACCATCTGGAATGAGGTCTGGTGCCCTCTTCTGGCCTGCAGGCACACACAGACAGAATATTGTATACATAATAAATAAATATATATATAAAAAAAAGAGGAGTATGAGCCAGGAGGTAGTGGTGGCATACGCCTTTAACCCTAGCACTTGGGAGTCAGAAACAGGAGGATTTCTGTGAGTTTGAGGCCAGCCTGGTCTACAGAGTGAGTTCCAGGACAGTCAGGACTGTTTCACAGAGAAACCCATTCTTGAAAAAACAGAAAGGAAAAAGACAAAAGACAAAAAAAGAAAAAGGACGCTGGGGCTGGTGAGTTGGCTCAGCAAGAAAGGACACTTGATGCCAAGGCTGAAGACCTGGCTTCCATCCCCAGGACCCATATGGTAGAGGAGTCAAACTATCCAACTGACTGGACACATGCTCTGGGGTCCTCACACATACACATCCAATAAATAAATAAAGGTAATTTTTGACAGGGTATCAAAAGTTCTAAGTTCCTGGCTGGCCTAGAACTCACCATGTAGACTCATGCGATCCTCCTGGATGGAAAGTACCACTATACCCAGCTTAGAGAAAAAAAAAATTAAAGAAGTGGGCATGCTAGGAGTGTCTCCTTTGGGGCTACTACGAGCACTATAGGAGCCAATGGCCCCTGGATCTTGCTTCTCTCTCTGCATCACTACTTTCCCTGCTTGCTTCTGCTTAGATCATTCGGAATTTTTCCCAGTTCCTTATTGGCACTGCCCTCTCTGGCCCTTAGAATAAATACTCCCCAGCCTAGAGTATCCCATTTACCTGTACACACAAATTTCCATGCTAATTTCAGCTCAAGTCTCAAAAAGAAGTCCTTTCCCCGTCTCCTCGCTTAGGGTTGGGAGTCTTCTCCCAAACCCCTGAGGCTCCTCTTTGCTGGCTTGTGAACTTTCTGTGCCACCAGCCCAAAGCAGGCACAAAGTGACGTTTCCCAGTTTCATCTGCGTTCCCAGCACCCAGTCGGTGCCTGGTTTGGAGCACATACATGATCAATAACTGTGAAATCGGGGCTGGAGTTTTGAGCACAAAGTGCTTTTGTTTGGTTTTCAAGACAGGGTTTCTCTATGTAGCCTTGGAGCCTGTCCTGAAACTCTCTCCTTAGACCAGGCTGGTCTTGAACTCAGCCTTCCGAGTGCTGAGATTAAAGGTGAGCACCACCACCGCCTGGCAACACACAGTGCTCTTGCAGAGGACCTGAGTCGGATTTCCGGCATCCACCTCTGGCCTCTGTGAGAACCAGGATACATGTGCATATACCCACATGCAGACACAAATATTATACACAATTTTTTTAAAAATAACTTTTTAAAAAATTAAATATTTTTTAATTGCAGGATGAAGAAGTGAGAGGAAGAACTGCTACGGGTAGGTGCGCCTTCTCAGCCCTGGATGGGGGTCGGTGGCATCCCTCACCCACATGTAGGACTTTCTAGCTATTCCTGTCAAGTCCCACCTGTTGGATTTCAACAATGCAGGTGTAAACGACCTGAATCTGCTCTACCATCTGATGTGTCTGCTGTCGGTGGAAGTTCACTGTCATCAACCAAACTCATCAGCATGCCTCAGCCACCCTATCCAAAAGACAAAATGAGACCAGGGCAGAGCCCAGGGCAAAATCCCGAGATTCAGCTGGTCAGAGAACCACTTTGCATTGAGCACTGTCTGATGGAGGAGGGTCATCTTTCTATCTGTTGCTTTCATTGGCTAATTAATAAAGAAACTGGTTGGCCTTTAATAGGACAGAAAATTAGGTAGGCGGAGTAAACAAAACAGAATGCTGGGAGAAAGAAGCTGAGTCAGGCTGTTGCCATGATTCTCCCACTCCAGACAGACTCGGGTTAAGATCTTTTCTGGTAATCCACCTTGTGGTGTTACACAGATTATTAAAAATGGGTTAGATCAATATGTAAGAGCTAGCCAATAAGAGGCTGGAACTAATGGGCCAAGCAGTGTTTAAAAGAATACAGTTTCCGTGTAATTATTTCAAGTATAAAGCTAGCCATGCGGGTAGCCAGGTGGTGGGATGCAGCCCCGGGCTGCTCATACAACAACTGTCTGTTCATCTGGTGCCACGTCAGGCCTGTATATTCATTTCCTCATTTTAACCTTAAAACAGGTCCCGGAGGGAGGAATATTTCTTCCAGTTAGCACATGGGCAAACAGTGGTTCAAAGACTAAACTACATTTCCCAGCTTCTCTTGCAATTAGAAGTGGATATCCAACTGAGGCCTGTCCCTTGAAATAGGGATGGAAAGGCACATGCCATCTCTAGATCTAGTCCATAAAGAACTTCTGTGCGAGCTCCCTCGACATCCTTTCCCCTTCCATTTGGTTATGAAGACCATGATCTGGGTGATTCTGGAAAGCACGTGCGGAACATGGCAGAAATGCCACCAGCCCGAATCCCTGACAGACTGCATATGGGAGGGCAACTTTCTAACCTACCTAGTGTTTTCTCAAAAAGATCTGTCCATCATTTTCTTTTAAAGAGATGTATTTATTGAGCTTTAGGTGTGTAAGTATTCTGCCTGGCGTATGTGTACTGTGTGAAGGCCTGGTGCCCACATAGGCCAGAAGCACACATCAGAACCTTCAGAACTGGAGTTACAGATGGCTGTGAGCCACCATGTGGGTGCTGGGAACTGAATATGGTCATTGTTGTTATTATTATTATTATTATTACAAGTGTTCTTAACCCCTGAGTCATCTCTCCAGCCCCCTTAAGCAGGTTTTTGAGATAGGATCCCAACGCATCCCAGGCTGGCTGAAAATAAGTAGCTGAGGATGACCTAGACCTCACAATGCTTTTGCCTCAACCTCCTGAGCACTAGGATTACAGGCTTACACTGCCACACCCAGTTTAGCGTCTTTTACTTTAGAACCATTGAATGATCTGGGAGCTTGTTGTGGCAGCTGCCTTAAATAAATAAGTAGCCCTAATTGAGGTTTGGCCTCCCAAATGCAGGGTGGCAGAAGCTCTGAAAGGAACTAGTTCAAGGTTACACAACTGTTCTATGGTGTAGCACTGTCTACTCACGGGGGACTTCAGCCATTGGCTCTGATGAGTCTCTCTTCCAAACTGAATGATGTCACCTACCTACCTGCTGTCCCACCCCACCCACATCTACCACAAAACCAGCCCTTTCCCACAGCCAGCGATGGGTCAGCAGACAGACTTGGAAGCCAACAGGCTTCAGTCAATGGGGGCGATGTCCAGAGAGAGCCCAAGCCTCTGGCTAGACAGACAGGTAAGTGAGCCCAGCAGGAATGAAACCAAAACCCGGCTTCAGCTGCCCGTGGGACGCCAGAAAAGAGGAAGGAACAAAGGGAAATGAACATGAAAGAAAGACAGAGACAGAGACAGAGAGAGAGAGAGAGCACAGGCGAGTACAGAGGGGCTGTGGGCTACTGTGGGGCAGCTAGGACAGGAGGCAGGGGACGGTCTTGCAGGCCAGACCAGAACCATCACAGGACCCAGTCCCTGCCTCACTCAAAAGAGACAAGTGCCAGGCTGGAGAATCCTGCTGGCAGCTCCCGGGTTCTCTATAGTGAGCACTCTGAGTGATGGGTGTCACAGACATAGTGGGTGGGGGTTCTCAGTGCTCGCAGAGAACTGAGGCCCCCACGAAAGCAGGGACCATACACTCATGAGGAGCAGGGCATAAATCGGTCCTTTTATCTCTCTTGCCTCAGTGCTTTGATGGTTCCCTTAATTTCCCTTTAATGTCTCGGTCTAACTCCTTTTGAAAATCCTGGCCCAGCTCTTCTATGCAGAACGGGAAGAGACAAGGATGGGACAGGGAAGTGAGGAAACAGGATCCCTGGACAGCAGCTGGGCTGCTTGGAGAACTGGCCAGGGCGTCACTGTCACCTACCTGGACATGATGGAGGGTTAGGGTTGCTGCTGATGGTTTATTTAGATGTGAGATGCCCCTTCCTGCATCTCAGATGCACGATGTCACAGCACTACCGGGCTCCTTGCCTTAAACATTGCTAAAATGCAGACCAGGCTTGCACGGGCCCTCAGGCTGAGCTGTGACCTCCTCAGAGAACCCCTGGTGAGGGCTCCAAATATGACTTAGTAGGGTAGCACTGTCCAACAGCTCTCTTGGCACCCTGGTATCAAGCCCCTTAGTATGAAGCAAGCCCTTAACTGTTTTAGAAAGAACTGGGCGCGGGGGGGGGGGGATACAAAAAACAAAACAAAACAAAAAAACCCAAAACCTTAGTACTGATGAGGACGCTTAAGCAGAGAGAGGGTAGCAGCTACCTTGCCCCTTGATTCTGGAGTTGTCTCTGGATCCCCCTGCTGCCTCGTGTCACTAAAAGGGACCACAAGAAGGGGTGGGGCCTTTGCTTCAGCCCAAATATCTCAGGAGAAAAAGCTGCGGTGGACGGCGGCGCTGCTTCCTGAATGGACACAGGAAAAACAGCAGCATCTCCCATCACAGGTGCCAGACAAAGGAATTGTGGCCAGACAGCCATTTGCTAAATCTGGAGCAGACGGTCTCTGTTAACCCTTCTGTGTCTCAGCGCTCTAGCGGGTTGTTCTCTGCTGTACCTCCTTTAAGAGTACCAGAGGCCGGCATCACTATGCTCAGAGGGGGAGCGGCCTTTCCTTGACTCTTGGTCTCAGGGATCAGCGTGGCAAAGGGTCAGCAACACCTCACCTGAGCCGCTGACATCACCCCTGACCTTCTTGCTCAACCCGAGGGTGAAGTTGCATAGGTCACAAGGAGAGCGGGCAGAGGACAGAAAGGAAACAGACAACTGGCTGCAGGCCACAGGAAGCAATAACATGGCAGAGGCAGGCACCAAGCCAGAAAAAAAAAAGAAATCAGGAATTATGCCAGATGGCCAAAGGTTTGTGGGTCATGGAGAAATCAGGCCACAGAGGAGGGTGAAATCAGACTTCAGAACAGCCAACGTCATCTATGTATGATTCCGAAGTAAAGGGGATGCGCCTCCCATGCAAATCAGGCTGGGTCACCCCGGCCGCCATCCCCCACCACCTCCGCGCAGGGGCCCAGCCTCACTTGAGCTGCTGAGTAATGAGCTCCTCGTCATTGAGGTAGCGCAACCGCTCCTCCTCCACCAGGGTGCGCTGCCGCTGCAGCGGGTCCTCCTGCCGCCGCGCCGCCTCCGACACACGCATGCTCAACTCCGCCTCGGTGCGCTTCAGCAACGCGCGTACTGATTCCTGGTTCTGGAGCTGCAGGAGCAAGGATGTCCGCGTGGGCAAGAATGCACGCGTGGACCGGGTCGGGGGAGGATGTATGTTGCTGAGGAAGGGTGGGCAGAGGGCAGCCCCGTGCAAGCAAAACTCCACAGAAGACTGGGTTGCTGGGTGAGCTGCTGCAAAGGCGTGGCAAAACAGACGCAGGGGTCAAGGACTGAGTTGGAGAGAACCTGTCCAGGAGATCCTGACCGAGGGTGATAGGGCTCATAGAGAGGGCAAAGTTATTATGGGTTTCGCCCAAGTTACAGCGGTGTGGCTGTGGCTGCGGCTGTGAGCAGCAGGGAAGGATGGGACAGCTGAGAACCTAGACCAAGATTACATTCTGGAGGGACAGGGGAACGAGATGAGAATTTGTGTGGCCAAGGGGTAACACTAGGTAGGGCCCTGACGTCAGTGTGACTGCATTTATGTCCTCAAGTAGCCCTGAGTGGAGACAGGACCTGGGGTGAAGGACTCAAACTCCGTGGTTGATAGGGTCTGCCACTGTGGCTAAGCCTACAAGATAAAGGTCCCAGTTCCAAGCCCAAATGACGTGGGTGGGCGAGATCTTACCCGTGGCCCAGATGGCAGCTCTCTGCCTCCCCCCTTCGGCCTGTCTCTGCTCATTAGCCTCACCTGACAAGCCCTGAGCCCCTCTTGAGGAGCCGGCACAGTGATGCCAGGCTCCTGACAGGTGGGACCATCTGCCAGGCAGGGCAGGACAGCCACTCCAGGTTCAGGAAGGGAGAGCTGAGGGGATTTGGGGAATATGGATGCGGGGCCTGAAGGAGCTGGGACAGCCTCAAGGGATGGTGAAGGGAGGAGGGGTGGCTAGGGCTCAGGGAGGGAGGAGACTGGGGGTCAATAAAGGGTCAGGGCTTGGTGAGAGGAGCAAGGTTTAATGATAGAAAGGGAAGAGGAGAAAGGGTCCGAAGAAAGACTACTGAACATGAAGGACTCCACTCCGCCAGAGTTGGATGGTGAGGAAAGGTGGGGCAGAGCTTGGGGAGAGGTAAGTGGGAGGGGGGGCCCGCGCTCGGTACCTGGAGCTTGCGCAACTGCTGAAGCTGGCCACGCAGGTCACTAGCGCTGTTCTGTAGGCCCCGCAAATGCAGCTGCATCTGCAGCCGGCTGACAGCAGTGGGCTGCCCTGCAGGGGTGCCGCTGGCCGAGGGTGGGGGAGGGCCGGACACTGGAGTGGCCCCGCTGCTCCGACTACCTGATCCGCACGCTGCCAAGAGGGACCAGAAGGATGAGTGATAAGGAAAGAGGAACAAACGGTGAGGGGAAGAAGCCATCCTCTCCACTCACACCCCACATCCAGCCAGAGAGACACACAGTTATGACCGTCTACCCTAAGGTGACAAGTCCTAGCAGGAGCCATGTGCCTGGGCAAAGATGATGACTCGTTTATCGGCAGAAAGCCCCATGATGTAGCTACTAGGAGAGCTGGCAGCCCAGCTTCAAGGTTAGGAAACTAATCCTAAAACTCTGAGAGGAAGAGAAGGGTCACTCACGCGCTGAAGGGGTGGCTGCTCCATTGGAGCCTTCAATCTTCTCACTGTGGCGGAAAGAAAAGAAAATGGTTGTGGGAGCTTGGGCTGGCCTCAGACCATCCAAGCTGAATGGGACCTTAAATGTCAGCCCAGCTCCTTGGCCTTAGGATAGAGCCACAGCGAAGGAAAGGGAGTCACTCGGAGCCACACAGCAGACACAGGTAGAGCTGAGTCCTGAGCTTCTGATTTAGCTCACGGTGGCGGGGCTCATCGCTGCCTCAAGCCCCGGTCCTGATAGTGGTATTGAGAGAGGGCCTCTCACCTTGGGGTCTCGGGCTCTGAGCCTCGCAGGAGGGCGCTCTGCACCAGCCCTGTGAGGCTAGCGATCTGCTTCTCCATGGCCTCCATGCGTTCCCTGGGGAGGAAGGTGGATTTGAGCAAGTGCTCCCGTGAGTTTGTGGTCCCTCCAGCTCACCCTACTCCCCAGTCTAAGATTAGCAGCCAAAGGACAAACAGCTCATCTTTCCTTAGCTGCCACACAGAACAGGGACCCAAGTCAAGGCTCAAACTCCTAGTTCTCCACTGCCTCTCTACCACTGCTCCCACAAGGCACTCTGATGCAGGAGGATTGCTGCGAGTTTTAGTAGCCTGGGCTACATAGCAAGACCCTGTCTCAAGAACACAAAACATAAACACAAAATGCCCAACTCCTCCCTATCCCGAGCCTGCTCCAGCGGATTTCAGCGGGGTCCTTGCTGGACAGCTCTCACTGCTGTTGGGGCACTAAAAGGGCTGAATCAGCACCTTCCTTTTACCTCCGAGTAAAATGGGGAATGAATACAAAGTCGGGTCTCTGTTCCAGTCATCACTTGAGGCTTCACCCAGCCATCCAGTGTCTTCCCTGCCACACTGAAGATACTCTGGCCCTCCCCTGTGACCTAAACCTGGAGAGAACCGGCCATCCTCTGCAGTGCCTCCTTCTTCTTTCTATGTCCCCTCACCTGGTCTCTGTGTCCTTGGCTGGCACCGGCGGCCCGAATCCTACTAGAGAGCGCTCCCCAGGTCCAGGGAAAAGCTCGGAAGGTGGTGCTCCGGCCGTTGAGGCGCTCCCAGTGCTGCGGGCCTTGCCTCCGGGACTCTCGGCAAAAACCGACGAGGAGCCTGAGTCTTTGCGGAAGGACTGGCGCACCGGCGAGCCACGGCTGGGCGGCCCCGAGTAGGGGCTGTGCGGGGGCGGGGGTCCCCCAGAGGGTGCCGACACGTCGGCCAGCTTCTGCGGGGACGAAGGCGGCAGGCGGAAGCCGTAACCATCGCCGTAGAGAGGGCCGCCAGCGCCTGCCTTATACAGCGAGTCCTCCAGGTCGGACTGCAGGGCGGCGGCAGAGTAGGTGCTGAGCGAGCGCACCGAGCCCCGCTTGTACAAGCCACCTGCGCCCGGGTATGCGAACGGGTCCCCCGCCGCGGCGGCCAGGCTCAGGCGGCCCTCGTGCAGAAGCCCGTAGGGATCTGCATAGAGGCCCTCGCCCTTCACCAGCACCATGCCGCCCGCTTTGCCTGCCAGGTCCTCGTCCGGCTTCACGTCGCGCCGCTCCAGGATGGCGCTGGGGCTGGGGCTCACGCCCTGGCTGGCCGGGGCACCTCCCAGTCGCTCAGCCGCGTGGTGCACCGGACTGCCGGCATAAGAGGGCGGGCGACCCCCAGCATAGGAGAGGCGTGAGCGCGAGGGCGAGCCCGACGGCAGGCCGGACGGCAGGCCCGACGGCAGGCCGGATGGGAGCCCTGGAGGTGGCGAGCTAGATGCTAGGTGCGATGCTGGCGACAGGTTGTTGAGGCGCCGCGTGGGCGACGACTCCCGCGACGCGTACACCATCTCTCTCTGAGCAGAAAACAGCCCAAAAAGCCCACGGAGCTGGTCACAAAGAGGCCTTCCTTCCCCTTGTTTGAGGAGCCAGCACCTCACCTCTCCCCCAACCAGGCTTAGAAAACCCCCTCTGTCCTGTCTCCTTCTGCATCCTGGGCCCCTCAGTACTCCCAGCATAGGGGAAAGTAAACAAGCAGATGGAAAGACATCAGAAAAGCAACCCTCAGCCCATCATTGATGGGGACCAGGAAGGAGAAGAGAAAGGGAAGTGGCCGAAAGGGACTTACAGTATCTAAAGGCCCTTTAGAAAAATCTTGAGTGGACTGTGGGGAAGGTAGCAGGTGAGTAGATGGTACTTCCATAACCTCACAACTCACCCTGCCTCAGCCTCTAAGTTCCCATCTCCTAAACCGGCCTAGTTCTGCCTAGATTCCACCTGTCCAATCTCACCAGTGCCCTGTGTCTCCCAGACATACCCGCAGGTCTCCGTTAGTGAGGTGTGAGCCAGGAAAAGCAGCATACAGTGGTTCCTTCCTGTAGATCTTAATAATACTGCGGTCCTGGATATCCCTGTCAGGGAGAGAGGCAGTGGGTCACCGTGTGCTCCCCCTAGCTGTGCACAATGAGGAGACCAGCAGCAGCTACTTCAGGCAGACAAGAGGTTCCTGACACCCAGCCCTCCCCCTTTCCTAAGCCCGGTGCTCAGTGACTCCTTGAGATGTCTGCCACCAGCAAGCAGGCATGAGTGTGCCCCCCCCCACACACACACACGGGAGGGGAGTCCGCTTCCATAGCTTCCTGCCAGTGGGAATCCACAAATCTGAATGATTTAACAGAGAGGGCGGGGCACTAGGACTTGGTGGGGGGGGGGGCAAAGGATAAAGAGAGGGTGCCTAATGATCTAAGGAAGGGCCACCAGAGGTCCAGCACTCTTCAGAGAAGTGGGGAAGTCTACCCAACCCCTGGGGCCGCGCCCACCGGACGTCCTCCAGCTCGTAGAAGATGTTCCGAGCTTCGTCTTTGATGAGGATGGCGGTGTTGGGCGACTTAAGCATGCCCATGGTGAGCTTCTGCGGGAACATGTGCGCGATGAGTGCGTGTAGCGTGTCCAGACTGCTGACCTCATGCGTGATGTGTACGCGTCGGGTCTCCTCCCCGAATTGCAGGAACAGGACTCCTGCGAAGGAGAGGCCGCCCTCACGGTCACTGCCTCTATCAGCCGGCTTCGCACCAGGGGAGTGCGGTGAGCCCTCGGGAGCGGCGTCAGTCCCACAGCGGCAAGGTCTGAGGCCGGAGGCTGCCCCCGAGTGCAAGTGCACCCATGCGCTCCTCATTCCGCCGGTTTGCGGCCCACCACACCAAAAACCCACCGGACCCCAGGCAGCTGGAGTCTGGACGTGGAAAGGGGGCTGGGGGAAGGAGCTGGTGGAGCAGAAACTGAAAGAAAGTCGGGAAAGAGTTGGAGAGGCTGGCGAGAACGCAGGGAGGAAAAAAAAAGCCTAGTAGAAATAGAAAAGGGCTGGATAGAGAGGATGCTGACAGAACTTAAGGGCCAGCAGGGTATGCTAAGGTCAAGCAGAGAAGAAAGAGCTAGAACTTCGAGGAGGCGTCTGCTGCTAGAGGAGGGAGTGGCAGGAGATGGAGTAGCGAAGGGCGGGATAAGCCGGAGGGAGGAGCTGTGGCGGGACCTGAAGGCAAGCAGGCTGGGCAGTACCTGGTGAGCGCAGCTTGGTCTGGCTGGCAGAGCGGGAGAGAGGCAAGCTCTGTCGGAAGCGGTTCATCCTGCTGAAGCCCAGGGGCAGCTCGGCCTCGGACATGGTCTCCAGCGACTCAGCCGAGGCGTAGGACAGCTTGGCTGCCTGGTCTGCCAGCCCTGGCTGGGCTCCCTGAGTATGGCGCGAGCTGCGGGTCTGCAGGGGCGGGGCAGGGCGAGAGGCACCAAGCATGAGCCCCCACCCCCAACCCTTGCTCTGCCACAACCTCCATCTGGGCCACAGAGCTCCAGCCAGCCAGCAACACACACACACATTCAGAGGTGGGTCTCCTGGGTTCTAGACTCGCTGGGCAGCTGCAGAAAGATCCCTCAACTCTCGAAGGTCTTGGCTTCCCTGGGACACCCGTAGGTAGGCAGTGGGCAAGCGACTCAGGCACCCTGGGATGCTATACAAGAAACCATCTGAGTTGGACCCATGGGCACGCCTGCTATTTTAAGCTTCCAATGAGCAACAACACGAATTTGTCACCGAGGTGAGCAGCAGAATTGTTGGGCAAATTGGAGCATTAGTTCCAGACGTTAATTAAACGGTGGGTGCGTGGGCGGTGGATTGTCTTCATGGAGTCCGGGAGGGGCTTGGGGGGGGCAGGGAGAAAGCAAAGAGATTGAGGGACCCCAGGCTTTCGGCACTGGGAGGTGTCCATGCCAGGATTCTTGACTTAGAGGATTTTGTCCCTGGGGAGTCTCCCAAAGCCTTGAGTCAACTGAACCACAATTTAAAGTAAACACACAGTATACATGCAAAGCCAGGTGTGACACACAAGTGTACTGTGTGGGCTCCGCCCCTCCCTGGGATACGAACACTGTCACAGCCTGGTTGGCCTCCCCTAGCCATGAGTATTACAGCCCTTTCCCTGTGGCTACAGCTGAGGTGAGGAAGGGTGTCACAGAGAATCCCTAGGTTCAAGTCCCAGTTCCCCTCCCCCGAGATAAAGGCCTAGGAGGTGGAATTCAGTGGGAAGGATGCCACGAGATGGGCCTGACTCCAATCTCCTGGAAGGTGGTGTCTCTCCTTATTTCAGTTGTCTTTCTAGAAATTACTTTTGGCTGTCACCCAGGGCCACAACCTCTGCCATTCAGCCCTAGTTCCCACACTAAACCCAGCTACTATATAGACGCTGGATGGTTTAAATCATTATTATTTTTCTGAGACAGACTCTCAGTACGTAGCCCTGGCTACCTAGAGCTGGTTAAGTAGACAAGGCCTGCTTGGGAGATCTCAGACTTCAGAGCCTAGGCTTCGATTCTAGGCTGGCCAACAGTGAGAGCCCCTCCCACCTTCGTCCCCAGAGAAACCATTGCAGCGGCAACCTATTCAGAAGTCAGGGAGTCTGAACCAAGCCGGTGGGCATGGGGTTGCCAGGCAACTGAAAGGTCAGTGGTTGCCAGACTGGGGTCGATGAGAAGCTTCAGAATGCAGCAGCTGGCAGAGATGAAGAATAGGAGTGGCCACTGGGTCAGAGTGGGGTCACAAATGAGATGTCTGGAAAAGGATGAAGTGGACAGCGCGGAGAGGACAGGATCCTGGGGATGGCTGGCCACAAACATAGGAACTCTAGGGGAAAAAAGATAGCCACATCCCTTCCTCTGCCTGCTCCTGCCTCCACTCTAGCACCATGGGCACCTTTCCATTCTTTCTACCTTAAAGAAAACCCTAGGCCGGGCAGTGGTGGCACTCAGGAAGCAGAGGCAAGTGGATCTCTGTGAGTTCGAGGCCAGCCTGGTCTACAGAGTGAGTTCCAGGACAGCCAAGGCTGTTACACAGAGAAACTTGGGGGGAGGGATCTCTAAGAAGAAGAAAAGTCTATTAACACTTCTTTCTGCTCCCTGGACCAAAGCAGAGAAAATGAAACATCTAGAAGCCACTAGCAGGCATGTCCAATTTTTGACATGCTGTCTACCAAATTCACAGTTAGGAACTGAACAAAAGTTACAAAAAAAAAATCACAAAATAAATCTTATGTTTTAAGTAAGCTCATGAGCTTGTGTTTGATCACACTGACAGTCACATATGAGCTGCTGGCCACAGTTTAGATGTTCTGACTAAGGGAGATGGCAAGAGAAGGAAACAGGAATTCAAAGAGAACTCGAATACAGGATGGGGCTGCCGAGGGAGGCAGTGAACTCAGCCATTGTGCCTATTCCACCAAGAAGCTAATGAAGCCTTGCCAGACAGGAGGCAGGGCGAGGACAGTCACACCGAGATCTTGGGGCTCCCAGCAGCTCTCCAAAGACTTGGGCAGGAGCACCTGGGAGCTTTCACCAAACTCTTTCCAGGATTCACAGTGGAAACCTGGGGCTTACGACAGCCTATGATAGCCCAAGGCGACTGTAGCATCCAGAGGCTGGAATCCGGTCAGCATCCACCACTCCAATGCTGATGAAGTCAGCTACCAGGGAAAACTTGCTAACTGGACAAACTGCCTCGGACATGCATTCTTCGCATCTCTCCAATCTTTCAGCAATCCCGAGTCAGCCCTGATGGTACATGCCTGTAATCCAGCACTTTAGGAGGCTGAGGCAAGAGAATCGCAAATTCAAGGCCTGCCTGAGCTACAGAGGTAGCCTGGACAACTTAGTGACACCCTGTCTCAAAATAAAAGGTTAAAAAAAGGGTTAGGGTACTGGGTATGGCGGCGCACACCTTTAAATATAGCACTCAGGAGGCAGAGGCAGGTGGTGCTTTGTGAGTTTGAGGCCAGCCTGGCCTACACAGCCTGTTCCAGGCCAGTCAGGGAGACTTGGTCTCAAAAGGAAGCAAGACAAACAAAAACAATACCCTCCAAAGAGTTGCATGCTCAAGGGCCTGGGTTTAATCCCCACTAGTAGAGTGGGGGAACCCCTCTATGATGAAGACAGTGTTGTTCACTCTCCAAAGGAGAAAGCACGGCCCAGAAGACTGTAAGTTCCTGCTGGGTCAGTAAGCTAACTAACAGCAAGCTAGAATCCACCACCAGGCCAGACCCTCAGGCCCATGCATTAACCCTCCCCTTTCTCCTGCCCCTGACAGGCAGATACAGGATCCCATAATACTGATTCAAAGGCTTTTAGAAAAAAAAAAGAAGAAGTTTGCACACCAGCCACCTGGTGAATCTGATACCCTTTCCTAAGGTCTGAGGCTTCCAGGGACTGCAGATCCTACACAATAAACCACAGCAGAACTTCTCTCATCCAGCCCTGGGTATGGGGGTCAAGGAAGAAGGAGGGAGTGCCTGAGGGTGCTCCCCCAGGGGCACCATGGTATCCTGGGAGTGGGGAGAAAGCACTCTAGTTCTCTAAAATAAAATTGTTCAGAGGAGGTGAGAAGGCACCCATCCCCCAGGCCTTGCCCCTAAGATGAACAAAGTTAAGCATATAGGGCAAGTGTGTTGCCTTGTCCTGCCATGATGGGGAGTAAAAACAGGCAGGCATGAGGCCTTCCTTTGAGGGACAAGGTGAGTTTAGGGTCTAGGGCCCACAGGGAACGCATGCATTCGGGTCCCTGCCTCTGTCAGCTTACTAAGACTCGGGAACCCTTCTCCTCCTAAAACACCCCTAGCGGGCTGGGAGAGCTGAGAACTTGAGCATCTCCAGCCCAAACCTCCAGCAGAGATGGCAAAACTCCCACTCTGGATCCACAAGCCCCCGGCAGACAAACCCAGACTCTTCCCCCCAAGCAGCAGCCATAGCCGGCAGCCCCAGGCCCACCGCCCACAGAGGAGGGGGCCCCTGCAGATGCACACCCCAGAGCAAAGCATTGTGCAAGGCAGAGTTGGGGAGGGGAGGACAGGACATGCAGTTGTCACAGAAGCAGAAGCATCGCGCACTGACCTTGAAACTCCAGTAGTTTGGTTGCTGATGGGAATAAGAGAAGAGATGGTTACGAGGGGGCTGTCAGGGAAGTGGAACAGGACAGGACAAAGACTCTCAGTACACAATCCTGGGTCGTGGGCCTCCACCCTCTGGGGAGCAGACAGTAGGCAATGCCTGTGCCTCTCAATTCTCTCACGAGGCTGGAACATTCTGGTTTACCAAGGAGGGGCAGGTTCCAGGTCTGCTGGCAGGGGAGCAGGATAGAACGTTCCCGATGTTTCAAGTGTCTTTCTAGCCATAGTAATCGACCCCGGAGAGAGCTGCAGGTAAGGGAAAGCGCTGATGGCTATGAGATGGTCAAAGATTTCAGGGACGGCAGTGACCAGTCTGGGCTGTGGGACCAGAGAGAGGCCAGGTCAAATGTCCCAGAAAAGATGGCATTCCAGCGTGGTCGGGAAAGTGAAGAGCTGGAGATGGGAGAAAGGTGTGCTGAGCAGACCTACACAGGCCTAAGTAGGTGCCCTGGAGCAGGCAGGAGGGCTGGGAAGACGCAGATGAAGCTAGAGACAGAGCAGTCTTCAATGGCATTACAGCTACAGATCAAAGTACAGGAAACCTAGGAATGAAATCGCGAAAAGGGAATGGGACCCCAGTAGGGCTAAAGGCAGAGAGGAGATGGTGGTGGCTGGGACCAAGGCCAGGGTAGGCAGGCCTGTGTGCCAGGATGTGCAAGGATTGTGGAGAAAAGTGGACCACTGCCAGGGGCCTCTGGCACTAGGCAGTGGATGGAAGCCTGGGCAGCACTTGGAGCTACAGAAACAGTGGAAAAGAATTGTAAGGGGGCCCCAAGGCTCCTCCTCACTCACAGTAACCCTGGGTTGCCCTGCCCTCCCTAGAGACCAGAAGGTCCTTCCAGATGGTTACCAACAAGGAAAGGACAGCCCTGAGGGCGGGCTGGTTCTTGGCAAAGCTGAGGGTACCCTGCTGACCGGTGCCAGCCTCAGCAGGAGGACAGAGGCAGCAGATGGCCTGGTCCCAGGGTGCTTGGCACACGCAGACAAGATTCCCCAGCCCTCACAGCCAATGGCAGAGGAGAGGGACCTTGAGGGTTCCTGCTGGGAAGACAACATGCTGTGGTGCCCTGTGCCCCCTGGATGTGTTGGGGGCATAAGGGCTGAGTCGGGGCTAAGGACGGCTACTGCTGGGTACATATTTTATAGTGACAGCTCTTTGGGGGGGGGGGTGATGCCAGCCTGGATCTGGAATAAAGTTCATCGGCTGCCACCCTACACACATGCCTGGTCCACAATCCCGATCTCTCTCCCAAATTACTGCCTCCAAAAGATGAAAAGTAGCCACATTTCAGGCAAGGAAAGGGGATCACCAAGGCTGTATGGACACAGGGCACCCCTGAGGTGGCAAGGGATGGGGCATGGTTTAAAGACTTGAGCCACAGCTTCTGCGACCTTGGCTAGAACAGGAAGCATGGAGAGAGGACTCGTAGACGTCAGAGGCAGGCTGAGGACTCGGAAAGGTTTGTGCTGAAAGTCATGTCTGCAGACCAGCAATGACAGACGGCTCTGCAGAGAAAGCCTCACGCTTGGTACCCACCCCACAGTGGGCACTGAGCATCCACAGCTCCCTGTAACATGCACGTTGGTCCTGCAGTGAGCTGGTAGACTCAGACACATACTTGGGTAGACAAGGATGTCACAAACACACCCAGAACAACACACACGCCCACTAAGGTGCACAACATTAGGGGAAGCCATGAGAAATGGCCCCCAGGAACAAAGAGTAACTCGAAGACATCCACATGGAGACCATCCGATTCAGATCCATATGTTCTCCCAAGAACCCCAGCTAGCATTGTGCTCAGTCAAAGACATGAAGGGTGGTAAGACCAGTCACACCCCCCTCAGCACACCACAGAGCCACAGAGGCAAGGACACCCATTCACACAAATACACAAACACTAGCAACAGAAATATAGACAAAATAGTCCACAAGGGCCAGCAAGATGGCTCAGTGAGTGAAGGTGCTTGCTGCCAAGTCTGAAGATCTGAGTTTGATACCTGGAGTCCATGTGATGGAATGAGAAAACCAACTCCCCCATGCTGTCCTCTGACTTCCAGACACACATGCCATAGTCAATGCATGTCCCCAACACACGCACACTAAATAAATGTAATTTTTAAAAATCAGAGCGATGTATGAAACACACAGAACTCAGAGAAAATGTTCTTTCTCTGCTCCCCTCTACCTGCTGGGTCAGGACATTTGTGGCACCTTTAGCCAGTTTCCAATAGCTAGGATGGCACTATCATTGTGTGTCGGGGAGTTTCCTGAACCAAGAGTGATAAAAGCTGTCCCATCCCTAATCCTGTCACCAATCTCAGCACAAGGAACTCAGGGTACCTGGTGCAGATGACTGAGACCCACTTGATGTTCCTAGGAGATGGATAGGCAAGACCTGGCTATACCCGCACTGGCCAGGCCTCACTGTGGGCTCCAAGCCTGTACAGACCCATCAGGCAGGACCTGAAAGGCTTGGGAGATAACAGGGTGGTGGTATCAGTGTCTGGGAAAATCATCCTAGCTCTGGGAAGGGCACGGATGGGAGAGAAGCTATGCTTGTGTTTGGGGGACGTGCAGGGGGACACTGTCATCTGGCCCTCTAACTTGCAGCTCTGAGTGTCATAGCCTTCTAAAGCAAGTCCTGCCTCCTTCCTTGGTCCTCTCTTCAAATGCAGAAAAGGGATCCTTTAAGCTGGCCCAGCAGGACCCAGGTACATGGTCTCCCAGCAACTCTCTGTCCTGGGAGGGGAAAATTGCAGTGGGAAGAAGCCCCTGGGGAGATGGGCCATCATCCACACTCGCTTCCAGGCATTAACCCATGGGACTGTCCCTGATGACAGAGTGCATAGGCTCCTCTGTTGTGCAAGAGGGACACCCGGTCCCTTCCCTGACCCCTTCCTAGTTGTAGATTCTTCAGCTGGTGTCCAACACGGTACCTGGTAGGGTAGCAATGCCCTCAACAAATCTGTAATGATGAATAACTGCCAATCAAACAAACCAAGCAAGGCCAGCAGGGAGCAGGTAGTCCTAAAGACTAGGCTTGGTCCCACTCCCTCCAATCCTGGCCCTGGCTTGCTCTGAGCCTTTTTCCTGAGAATGACAGGGGTCTAAAAAAACCCTGAAAGAGCATGGCGGTGCAGGCCTTTAATCCCAGCACAGAGGCAGGTGGATCTCTGGGAGTTAGAGGCCAGCCTAGTCTACCTGGAGAGCTTCAAGGCAGCCAGAGCTACATATTAATAGAGAGACCCTGCCTCAAAATAAATAAATAAATATTAAAAGGCAGGGACAGCAGGGACTCGGGGTCCCTTTTCTCTTCACTCAATAAAAACCTCACCAAAGCCAACACATCTCTAAGTACAGGGAGAACAGCTTTCCCAGAACTCAGTGAGCTGAGCAGGAGTGCTACTAGCAGGACCTGCTGCTGGTGGTGAGGGCTTGCGGGAGCTGGGGCAAAAACAGAAGTCAACCATCCCTCAGGACCAAGCTTTCAGTGATGGGGTACTTCCCCCAGGGAGCCCAGAAGTGGAGGAAACAGCTTTTTCCCTCTAGAGCTGAGGAGTTAACCCGGCACTCTTCACCTCTCCAGTACTTAGTCTTGGTTTCTTCCCCTAGCGGGCCCTCCTCCTCCTCCCACTCCAGCCAACCCTGGAGGGGCAAGAGATCCCATTGGGACCTTACCTCAGTTTCTTTCCCTTCCCCTGGGCAGGCGTCCTGGGGTAGGGTAGGTGTCCGCATGACTCCTCCTTGACCTCAGGCCCCAAGGGAGCATCTTCCAGAGGGGAAGGCAACCCAAGACTCGCACACCCTTCCTTAATCCCCAGACTGGCGCACACACCCACCTCCCAACTCCTGTGAACCCAAGTCCACGGAGACGCCAGCTCCCAGCCTAGGGCTACGCCACCGGCCACGGTGGCTGCCAGCCTGCAACCGCCAAGCCGCACACGGCCCTCCCCTAGGGGTTTGCAGCGACACCAGCGGCTCAGAGCCCTGCGGAGGCTGAGTGCGCGAGGAGGGGGTGCGTTGCGAGAGCCGCACGGCGCCCTGGGACGGGGCGCACCCGGGGAAGGTCATGACTTTCCGCGATTGGGGGAGGGGGCGCCTGCCGCATTTGGGGGCGGGGGGCCGACCCACGTGGAAGGCACCTGCTGCGGTGGGGAAAGGGAGGGGGCGTCTCTCCGAGATCGGGAACCCACTGCAGTCGCACGCCCCGCACCCCTAGACCAGTTCTCCAAATCGTGGATCGGGACTCGATCTCAAGGTCCCCGCCCCCTCTCCCACCGAACCCCACGCGGCTACTGAGTCCCCACCGCCTCTCACCCTTACCTGCGGCTACAGGTGCACGCGTGGAGCCTGGTCCCGCGTCGGGCGGGGGAGGGAGAACCGCCCGCTACTCCCACCCGCGCAGGCTCTCCCCTCCCCCGGCCGCCTCTGCAGCCGCCGCCGGTGCCCTTTGCTGCAGTGGGAGAGCTGCAGCCACCGAGCGGGCCCGGGCCCCGGTCGCCCCGGTAACCGCGACTCCACCTGGCGCCGCGCGTTGCGCTGCCGTGCGCATTCCCCTCTCGGCCCCCTCCCGCGGCGCGGCCCCGCCGGCGCAGCCACGCCGAAGAGAAGAGGCTGGTGGCTACGTCGCCGCGGTCACCCGATACGCCGGCCCGCCGCCCGGGACTCGGGTTGCAGCAGGAGGGAGGGAGGTTAGACAGCCTAGTGGAAGAGCGGGAGGGGGGAGGGGAGGGGCTGTGGTTTGGTCTAACCTTTGGTCCCTTCCCAGGATCCCCTTCACTGTACCCATCCCCAAAGGTCTTAGTTACCCCCACCTTCCGGGCCCTTAGCCTCCTCTCTGCCGCCCTTTTGCCCCTTTAATCCTTCCATGACTTAATCCCCCGACTGAATCGGGGAGGCCTAAGATGCCTATGCTTCCTTGTTGGCCTCTGATCCTGCCTTGCTGTGTGTGATTCTGGTCCTTTGCTGGGTGTCTCTGTGCTTTACAAAAAAATGAAGCTCAGACTTCTCCCTGGTGGGGAGGAATGTGATGAGCTCTATCCAAAGATGACAAGACGCTGTGCGTATTGTGGAGCTCTAAGACGAAGGTCCCCTACAAACTCTCCTTTCTTCCCTCGGAGCAGAATTCCAGACAGGCAGACAGACCTGAACTTCACCACGGGGCACAACTCAGCCCACTCTAATCCAGCCTCGTTCCTGCCGTCTACCTTATCCCTATCCCACACTCGACCTAAGGGACCTGAGGCACCAAGGACCTGCCTGTCCATCCTGTGCCTGTCTGCAGTCCATCACCATGATTGTCCCAACCCTCTGTCTGTGGTCTCCCCCACACACTGCCACTCGGCACACCTCTCTATCATCTGTCATCATCCAACCTTGATAACAGGCTCACCCCCTGCTCCCTTGTTCCCCAAATCCAGACAAAATGAGGCTTAGAGCTGGGAAGGAAGTGGCTCCATACCCTGAGAATGATGCCCAGTGTGCTGAGCTGTTACTAAACACGTTCCTTCAGTCCAGGTGCCCCAGCTCTAGATTCTCATGACATCCTTGTCTGTCACAATACCCTTTCATTTCATCTTCCTTGGAAAAGCCAAGCTTTGGCCCACTCTGGTGCATGAAGAACCAGACCTCTTCCATCCAACGACCTGGCAGCTCCTGCCCTCCTCCTACCTACACCATAACCAGCAAGTCCAAAATCCCTGGCTCCAGGTACGGCGTGGACTCCTGATCCCTGCCCCCACGTCTGTTATTTCTCCCCTGGCAATGCCCAGGCCTGAGCTGGGAGCATATGCTAAAATCTATCCTCCTATCAGGGAAAATGAGGCTCGGTGAGGAATGGGGAAACAGGCTCAGAAGCAATGGCTAGACCCCTAGTTCTTTTTAAAAATTATATGAAGGGTGAGAGAAAGACACCACACAGAACTTCCTGGTGGTCAGAAGGGGGGGGGGGGCAGGCTCTACTAGGAACAGAAGAGTCGGGCACAGAAAGGGCAATAAGATGAGAATAATAAGAGGTTCCTAAAAGCCCAAGAACAAGAGTAGGTCCTCTTGTTTAAAGGAGAGAAACAACTGTTTGTTTGTTTTTAAAGCATAACTATCCCTCAAAAGGGATAGGTTTGAGGAGGCGATGGTAAGAAATCAGTCAGGGGAGATGTGGATACGGGGTATGGAAGTTTCCTGATAATGGAGGGTTCATACATAGAAGGGGTGCGAAATAAAAATTATCAATGTCCCCCCCTACAAAAAAAGGGTCTCCCCAAAGCCAAGCTCCGCCATGGATTTTGGAGGGAGATGGCTGGCTCACCTGGGCAGGCTGGCCAGCCCCGGAGGGGGTGGAATCGCCGTGGAGGTGGGAACAGAGGGAGCTGAGGAGGCACACAGGGTCCACGGTCCAGCCGCCGACCTGTGTGTGTGAAGCAAGGGGACACCCCATTAGGGGGAGCGGGCAGGAGCCGCTGAGGTGGGACAGTATGGGATGGATGCTCCCAGGGCAAGCCCTGGCACAGGGAAGAGGGCCAGAGTCATGGAGGTGGGCTCTTCACAGCAGCTGGTACTCTATCAAGGGCCCCAAGTTTATCTGCATGTCTGTCTATCTTTCCTCTGACAGAACAGGCTTTCACCACTTGATAGAATCCTGATTTCCAATTCCCAAAGCCTCCCTGCACAATCCTTCTCTCCTTCCCAAGGAGGTCACCTCGGACCTCACAATGATGGGATCAGTGGGCAGGAGTGACCTCACTCCTGTTGTCTATGCCATCTCTGGACCCCAGGCCACCAGACTTGACTCCTCTGAGACTGTTTCCTCCTGCCTCTGGTCCTCTGGCCCCTGACACTTCTCTCCAAATGTTCGCCCAGCTCCACACCATTGCTGTACCATGCTATGGTACTTTGTTCAATTGAAAGGGCCTTGGGTCCTGACACTGAGCCTCTAAGGGGGCAGATGAGGGCAGGACAGATGAAAGGCATGAACCTGAACATGACTGAGCTTCCATTCACTCCAGAAGTATTTGCTAATTACTTGCTGAGTGTTCACCAGGCTCCACCTACCAATGCACATGAATGTTCCATGCCAGACTCGGTACCTCTTGAAGCTTTTCCTGCTACACCTCCCAGAAAGGTGTGTAACTAGGGTGCCCAGTTCCTCACCATGCCTGGGCTCCAAACCATTGAAAATGGACGCTATTTCTTCTTACCTCTGCCCAGACCCACCAAGACTTCTGAAGCATTGGCACCGTTTGTCCCACAGCCCATCTCTGACCATCGTATACTGCTTTAATGCCCTTTCATGCCCCACTCCCATTTCTGTCTCCGTCTTGACTGCTCTCAGGTCTCCTGAAGCCGGTGCTTTGGAGTACAGAAATGTATGTAAGGGATCCAGCTGGCATCCTAGGAAGCTCCCTCCCAACTTCCCACCCCACCCCTATGATTCTCATTCATTTCTGTTTCTTTCCCAGAGACTGACATCTATTTCCCTGTCAGTCAAGAATTCAATTTCAGTTTTTTGAGACAGGGTTTCATGTAGCCCAGGTTGGTAGCTGAGGATGGCCTTGAACTTGATTATCTTGCCTCCCCATCTAGAATGATGGGATTACAGGCGCGCAGCAACCAAGACAGACAGTTTGTGCAGTGCTAGGAATCAAACCCACAGCCTCCTGCTACCAGGCTGGCCCTTAGCTGTGTCCTTTTCTGTCATTCCCTTATGGCTCCAGACAACCAACAACCCTTACCTAGTCCCCCCTGCCCCTCTGTCCAAACTCCCCTTTCCTTCACTTCCTCCTTCCCCTGCTCAAGCCTCCCGACCCCCAGAGTCAAGAACTGTACATAACAAATATAACTCTCCTGTAATCTGCTGGCCCACCCCACTCTGGTACCACATGTCCCCCTGAACCCACCCCTAGTCTTCTGTACCACCCAGAAGGACTTGCCATGCTCCAAATCGACTCAGGTTCATGTGCTTCTCCAGCACCCTGCAGATACAGCATTCTCTACCTCTCTTCAAACCCTTAGCTTTGCTAGGCTTCACACAGGTGCCGCCTCCATAAGGCCTTGAAACTGACATCCCTCATCCTAAGCCCCCTCCCAACTGACCAGGACCCTCACACAATGTTTTATCTTCTCTTTCCCCCAGCTAAGGGGGTCAGGGCCCTACATGAGTCTAAAACCCCTCCTGATCCTCACCAACCTGAATCCTGCTCCCAGGGGGACTCTGGAGTCTAGAAAATGCAAAAGCCAGACTGAACTAGACAGAATGTCTGGGGGACAAGCAAGGTCCCCAAAACATGACAGTGTGCCCTTGATCTCTGCGATAAGGGGGCATGTCCCTCCTCTGATCCCTAGTCACACTGAGTAGCACCTGAAAAAGGAACTGTGGCCCAACAGTCCTCAGTGTGACTGAAGGACACTGGTGAGTGGACCCCTGTGCACCTTCTCCCAGAGGGGACAATGCTGAGATTCCCAGAGATGGGACACAGCAGCCATAATGGCCCCCTTGTCAATGCAGGCCTAGACATAGAACGCTAGTCCTGAGAGAAGGAATTCAGAGCGAAGCTAGTGCTTGGGTGGAGAGGGACATGAAGGAGTCCAGGCTGGGGAAGGCTGAGAGAAGCCACCCGTGCAGGTCCTGGGCCAGAGGCAGAGGCCCAGCCTCTCCCTAAGCCTTTGGGGGTGCAGGAGAGAGCCAAGGCACACACAGGCTTCCGGCTCAGTCACACGGCCAGTCTGTGTTCTCAAAGGAAGTAATGTCCCCAGTTCTGAGTTCTGTTCAGGCTAGGACTGGGGAGGGGTTAGACCCAGCCTTCAGAAGCCCCCAAGCCTGAGAGAGGTGTCATGGCCAAGCATTTCAACTGTCCCATGGGTCCAGGCCCAGTGCCCTCAGCACCAAAAGTGTCCCTTCTCTTCTTCAGAATCATCCCTTTGGCCTCCAAGACACACACCTTCCAGCCCTTCTTCCCACATTCTGCCTAAACCCATTCTCCAACGTGTCAAGCCGATGGCAGGGACCTGGAGACTAAGCCCCACTTCTTTCTCCCCCAGACTCCAGGAAAGACCAAAGAGAACCACGGCCCAGGGAACAATACTCCCCAACTCCAGGCTGACAGCTCTGCCCAGCCATAAAATACTGGGTGATCACCTAGAGATCCCAGCCCCTGCTCACACTCACCTGCTCCCGCATCCTGTCCTGCTGACCTCGCAGGGCCAGGGCATGCTGGGGGTACTTGCTCTTCAGATGGTCCATGAACGCATCTCGCTTGCGGTCAGCATCCGCCTTCTGGAGCCCGCTGAGCGCCTCCAGGCTCTGGGCAGCAATCACAGTGTGCCTCCGCTCGGAGGTGTGCACCAGCCCCACATTGGAGAAGCGCCGGCCCCCGCTGCCTCCGCTGCCCCCACCCCCCAGGGTCCGGTATTCCCGAGGGTACTCGGCATCGTCGGCAGACAGCATGGGGGGGCTGCTCCGCTCCGGATCTGCGAGAGGGGGAGAGGATCTAAGGTCACCAGAATGCCATGCCGAGGGGTCTGCCCATCTCAACAGGGATCCCTGTGGGGCAGGGCAGGGCCTGACGAGGGCAGAGGGACCTTTGGGAGAGGAAAGGGGGCAGAGAGTATACGAGGTGAACCTAGAATTCCAAGTTAGGGGTGAGGAGCAGGTCCTGGATGCAGGTTGCTCGTTGGTGGGCTTTGGAGCAGGCAGGGGAAGTTGATGGACGTGGGGACAGGGAGAAGGGAGAGGTATTGGAGGTGTCCTGATCACTTCTTTAACTACATACTCGGTCCCTTTCCTAAAGACAGGGAAATGAGCCATACTGTGGTCTAGAACACTCTCTAAGGAGAGGCTGGGGCTATGAGTGCCTTCCTCAGACCTGCACATCAGGGCTGTATCCTCCGGCTGGGGCTATCTAGGACAGTGACCAAGGAATTAGGAGGGTGGGGTGAGGGCAAAGGTCAGTCACAGGGCTCCTTCCCAAGGATGGATAGAGGCCCAGAATCTGGGGCAGAGAGACTCCCTTTCCCTCCCTCCCTCCCTACACAGAGACAGACAGATGGACAGACAGTAAAAGCTGAGCACAGAGAAGACAGAGATGGACTAGGACAAACTTAAGAAAAAGCAGGCAGACAAAACAGGTCAGCTCTCCGCTCCCCTCTCTGATCCAAGCTCTCCTCCCAACATTTATGCAAGCTCTAGACCCAGAAGTGATGCACAGGGGACAACGGACAAACAGAAGTGGGCGGGGGAGGCCAGGGGAGGCCGGGGGTTGAGGTCTTCACACTCTTAACACCCTCCCAAGTTCCCTCAGCCTCCTTTTCCTCCCTGGCACTGCTTCCCCTCTCCCTTACCCCCAAGGAAAGCAGGCCCTGCTGGGTATCCACATCAGTCATGTTCCAGACAAGGAATACAGAGTTGCCTGCCTGCCGTGTCCCCCAGAAGTTACCCCATTGAGAGCCAGCAGTCTCCATACCTCCCACCCAAGCCTTCCAGTCCATGGAGTGGCAACCCCTAAGCATGACCTCAGCAGGACTGGAGCGTCAGGCCCCACCAGCTAGGCTTGCACTCACGTGAGCAACTGTCCCACTACCGAGAACTTCTGGAAGAACAGACTGGGGGAAAAAGAAGATAAGGGGCCGGGCGGTGGTGGCGCACACCTTTAATCCCAGCATTCAGGAGGCAGAGGCAGGCGGATCTCTGTGAATTCGAGGCCAGCCTGGTCTACAAGAGGTAGTTGCAGGACAGGCACCAAAGCTACAGAGAAACCCTGTCTTGAAAAACTAAAAATAATAAAAAAAGATAAGGTTAAGGTTGGGGATCCTGGGGCTCAACCAGGTTCACGAAAGCCACCTTCCTTCCACACAATGTTAATCAGACCTGCTGCCGGGCCACACCAGGTACCTGACATCCAACCACAGGAGGAAAGGAGAGGCTGAGCCACATTTCAAGACTAGCTAGCTCAGTGCCAATACACATATGCACACACACACACACACAGAACCTCCCACCACCACCAACATATGGACACTCCACCCACCAACACACACACAGAAGGGGTTGGGGGAGCCACCCTAACACATATAACACACTCTTCCAGGCTGAGGCCCTGGCATGTGCAACATAGCTCCAGACAACCCAGCCTCTCTCACTCAACCACAAGGACAACACCTCCCATAGGCACTTAAGTCATCGGCTTAGAAGGACGCCCACCATTGCCATGGCTCTCGACACTCCTGTCTGGTAGGTATTATTGTGGTCCCCATTTCAGAGAGACCCAATGACAAGTCTAAAGCTACAGGGAGTAGTAGAGGCCTGGTGTGACCCCAATGTGACTAGGTTTGCACTGCCAAACCTCCCCGGACAGATGATATTGTGTACTGAGCAGAGAACACTGATCACACAACACATTTGTCTTGATGGTCTGGTCCCATCCCCCACAAAGCTCAGGGTCTGAGTCACCACCTCCGACCTCCCAGGCACCCTTTAGTCATCACAGTTACTATCCTTTGTGAGGCTCCCCAAGTGAGGTCCAAACACACAGAGATGACTTTGAAGACATTACACCTATATCAATCTATATACGTGTGTCTGTATGTATATATTAATTTGGGGGGGGGCAGCCCATATATGGCGGTTCTGTTGAACTTGTCCATATTGAGTTTCATGGTCTAAGTTGATGAGGAGGACTGATCAGGTCTCTTCCTCAAGAGGGCACCAGATCTCATTACAGATGGTTGTAAGCCACCATGTGGTTGCTGGGAATTGAACTCAGGACCTTTGGAAGAGCAGGCAGTGCTCTTAACCACCGAGCCATCTCTCCAGCCCCACATATGACACATAGCTGATTTACTTAACTATTTTGTGTCTTGATATATAACTCAGGCTGGTCTCAATCTATGATCTTCCTGCCTCAACTGGAGCTGAGTGTTTTATACTTTATTGATTATACTTTTATTTTCATAAGAATTAGAAAAAAGTTTGAGGGAGGGGGCCAAATCGCTGGTTTTATAGCTCTTGTTCCTGGGGTGGTAATGAGATAAGCTTCCTCTTAAGTGTATACAGTCAAATTCAAAGTGAAGCTGTGTTCACAGAAGCAATATTAAATTGATACAAGGCAAACAGCTCCCTGATAACAGAAGAAACTGGAAAAGAAGTCTGCTGACTGAGTAAGGCTAAGCATACAGAGGCCGTCTTCCTGACAGCGTCGGACCCTGTGGCGAGCCAGGGTGACCAGTGAGTGAGGCCAGGCAGGATGGCCTGGGGAATATGGGGAAGCAGGCTGAGCACTCTGTAAGTGTAGACCCCCACCTCCCTCCTTCCTTCACTCACCCTTACTGACACCTAGAAGGCCACACCCTACTGAGGACAGGAGGGGAGACCTCCACAGCTAGGGCACTGGGCACTTCGGAGTCCTCCGTCTGTCCATGTGTGTTTTGCCTGGCCTTGTTGCTAGCCCTAACTCTGGACCCAGACCACCTCTTCTCCTGCCCCCTCTGCCCCAGAGGGCTCTGGACACACATGGACTTCACTCTGTCTCCAGAAGCTCTCCCCCCACCCCTGCTCCCCACACCAGCCCTCCTTCCTCACTGCTGGGAAGGCATCAGCATTTCTGATATGGGGGAGACAGTGTACTAGCCCAAGGCAGATGATGACCATGGGGAACACTAGGAGCTACCCAATTCTCCAAGGATGGTGATGGCAGGAAGGAGGAAGGGCTGGGATCTGAAAGGCTGTGGGATCTGTTTAAGGACTTCAGAGGCTTTGCTCAGAGAGTGAAGTAACCCAGGACCTGATGTCCGACTGGGTATATAAGGAACGTCTTTTTATAGGGCCTGGTGGAGCAGGGAGGGCCAACCTGGACTGAAGAGGGAGCCAGTTCAGGAATGATCAAAGGAGAATCATTTATATTCATTCATCCTTTTTCTCTATGTCTATTCCCCTGCCCCACCCCAACAGAGTTCCATATAACCGAAGCTGGTCTCAAACTCCCTATGTAGCCAAGGGTAGCCTCGATCCTCTCTTCTTGCTTCTGAGTGCTGGAATTACAGGAATGAGCCACCATACCTGATTTAAGCGGAGCTGGAGATCAAGACCAGGACTTCATGCATGCTAGGCAATCACTCTACCAACTAAGCTGCATCCCAGCACCTCGATCTTTTAGAGCCAGGGCACCGAAAGTTAGACTGTAGCCAAGCCACCTTCCCTTGGGTTGAATCAGCTTCTCCCCCAATCATTCATACATTCAGCCAAGCAGGCCCTCCCCTGATGAGTCAGGGGTCTAATTTGTAAACCGGGGGTGTTGCCCTCAAAACCCTGCCCCACAGGGGAGAAAGTGACAACGTTGGAGAAAGCATATCATTTCCAGTGGGAGACATTCCTGGAGGGGGATTACTGTTCTCCCCATTCTCTCTGAGCCAATCCCAGCCACCAGCACAGCCTCCAAGCTGCCCTGACTCTCTCTCCGGACTGCACAGTTTAAGGGAAAAAGCCAGGGTGATCGATGAGTCCAGTACACTGGCATCAGGCTCCAGGCCCAGTGACCAAATCAATGCTACTCAGGGATCTGGCTGCGGTTAGGTGGTTAGGCGGGGAAGAATACGGGGATGGAGGAGACAGCAGCAGAGGCCGGGAATTCAGCAAGTGGGGGAGGGAGGTTGGGCGTGCTGGGGGAGGGGTGTGGCACTAGAAAAGCCAGAGAGCCAAAGGAGGGGTACAGGGTCTCCCTTCTTTCTGAGGCACCTATATGTAAAAGGCCAACTATGATTTTTTTTTCCTTCCCCTTTTGGCTTTTTTTGAGACACAGTCTCCACATTTATCCTGAAATTCACTGTGTAGTCCAGGCCTCAAATTCAAAGTCTTGCCTCTGCCACCTGCACAAGTACTGGATTACAGGCATGCAAAGACACGCCGAGCTCTAAGATTCTTTTTTTTTTAATATTTATTTATTTATTATGTTCTAATGGGAAAGTCGAGGCAACTGGGTAGATGCCAGGGAGTTACAAAATGGAGCATCAGGACGGGAGACGTAGAAAAGGGCTCTGTCACCTCACTCAGCTCAGCCTGGGCAAAGGGAAGGGGAAGGTGGTCCCGCTGGGGAGATGGGAAGCAGTGGGCGCCCCCCAGTGGCCGGCTGTGATAGAGAGCAGGTGCTTCATAGAAACATTGTTACTTGTTCAGCAGCTTCCAGACCCTTCCCCCCAGCTTATTTATGGGCCTGATTTATTTTTACCCTCCACTGCATTCTTTCTCATGAGATCACTGTAGCTCATCAGAAGACTGAAGATCCCAGCATCTCAATGACATCCTCTCATAAGTCATCACTCTCGGCCCCACCTGGCTTCTTTACCCTGGATGTCACCATCTACTCTGTCCCCTGCCTGTCGCTGGGCAGCGCTGGAACATGACATCATCTTCAGAAGAGATGGGGAGGGAGAAAACGGAGGGGAGATCAGAACTGCTGTGACAGAAAAGTGACAGGAAA